CTTGTGAAATGGCCTTAGTCATGCTGATCACATTACCAGGGGCTGGGAGCAGGGGTTGCCAGTCACATGCTTATAAGCTTCAGATAAGCTGCACCCATTGAAAGTCCTTCCGTAATTTGTCCTCCCGTGTAGGGAGTGTTAACAGCCTGCATGGGAGAAAAACGCCATGTCCTTGGCTGTCTTGAGAAAAAGAAGATTGGAATGTAGAATTGATAATGCAGGTGGCTTACAATTATAAACATTACTAATACTGTAGCTTTTGCAAACCTACCAATCCTATGCTGATGAGTAGAAAGTGACAGCCTCACTAATCAATGTATGTTTAACACAAATGTATGCACTGGTTGCTAAAGTAGATAAAAGAAGCCTGTCCCAGAATAAAGGSRTTACTTTTTGTGTGTGTATATGTGTGTCTTTATGTCTGTTATTTTGTGTCGGCTGTCTGGCCAACAGCGACACTCCCGTATATTCACTACCTCCAATTTAGTTAGTTTACAGGTTTACTTCCTSTGCTACTCACCTGTGAATAAAAGGTACACTGCTAGTGATTTGGATTTGGAGGACTTTTTTTTCTTTTAATTTGAATAAAATGTTCCACAARTGGTACTAAGTTTTCTAAACCAAATGGTGTAGTTTAGGTCTGCATTGCAAGTCAACMTGATAATTTGGGAAACAAGTAACAGGCTCTTACCAGGATTTATAGTAATGTTGAAGATATTACTTGGTTTCACTTGGTTCTGGAAGCTGGAGTTGGAACCACATCCACAACTGTGTAGCCACTTGGGAATAACAGAAAATAAGGAGCATAAAAATGGTTGAATGGTGTAGAATATTCCATACAAATGGAATATTTACGCTATCTGTATTCAAAATTTCTAACAGTCATTAAGAGGATAATCAGGAGTTCGCTACTACAGAAAAGCATTAATAAAATAGAACTGGCGTAGTCTTTACAAAATCAATATCACTGATGTGTATTGCTTCTGATATGTATTCATGTGCTTCTTTATACTTGCCCGATACCTTTGTTCCTCTGAAACACAAACAAGTTCTCAGAACGTGAAGCTGTAATAGTAATGTTGGTAGAGTCAGACAAAGGGCTGCTGAAATTATTTGTTTTGCTATGACTGCAGCTGAAAATGAGAAATTCACCAGGCTGAATGTTCTAGAACCGGATATTCCAGAACCTTAGTTTTATTTGGAGAATATTTTAAAAAATTCTGTGGAAGATTTTAATTTCCCCAAAAAAATAGAGCATCTGGCCTTCAATCTGATATGAAACAAAAATAGTGCCAAAATCTTGATCATTTTGCTACAGCAACAGGCCATTAAACCTTTGCTTTTCTGAAATCTACATTCAGTCTCCCAGTCAATTCCTCCAATCTCAGCCAAACTCAAATAATATTAAAAACAAAGGAGTTCGTCTCTCTGGTCGTTAAACAAAAAACCAATACAATTACTTTCTCTAATTAAAAATACAAAGAAATAAAACTGCTAATGAACTGTGAAGCCACTGAAGAAGGAAATCAATATGTTCTATATGGATGTATTAATTGATTGTTTCTGTCTTGCTTAGACAAAAATGATATGAATATGTGTGCCAAATTTAATAAAGGTGAAGTCTCTTCTTCACCAGTACTGTTCGAAGACAACACACCTCTGATGGATGACAACCTTAAACAAGGAGGTCTATCAGTGGAAAACTCAATTGTATTTGGAACTTCTGCAGAGGAAGTTGTGAAGGAAATTCGCTTTAGGATTGAGCAGAAAACTCAACTGACTGCTAGTGCAGGTATTCAGACACATATGATTAATAATTAATCTTTGTATTTCCATAATGTCTTTTACTTCAATCTTAGAGGGCAATAATTAAGAATTTGTCCTTGTCACAGCATTCTTCTGCTACAATAAAAAGTGCTTTATTTGAAAGTCTGCAAAGAATGTGACTTTCGATTTCGTCAAGAGATGTCATGGCTAGCAAAGTCACTGTTTCCTTTTTTTCTCTTTTTAAATAACTGTAACAGTTACATCATCTTTTTGCTTCTTTGTTCTTGAAATATAAGTAAGCAGTGAATGACCAGTGCACTTGTGCTAATCTTGGCACAGGTGGTTGTTATTCTAGTGTTTCATGTAAGTTGCTTTTGTCAGCTAGTGGGTCATAGTGCAATCTGTCACTACTTGCTGAACTCTTAGTTTGAATAGCARATCTGTGTTGTTACATATTTCTAACCTCTTTAAACAATATCAAAATTCATTAAAATCTTAGTCCTCAGAGAACTGAATATATGCTGAAGCTAATAAACTCTTCAGTACCTTTTAAATATTTACCAATCAAGTTTTTATGTCTTGGCTTCAGGCAACCCACCTTTAAATCTCGGCTATTTTGATTGACTAAAACAATGTATGTCCCTAGCCACTTAGTTTGGATGCCATCCAAACTGCTTTGTGAACCAGGTCAGCGAGGCATAAGGCAATGGTGAGCTTTGTGAAGCAGCTGCAGGTCAGGAAAGCGTGGAATGTAAGCAGAGGTGAAGAAATAGCTAGAAAGAAAAAGCAGGATGAGCCTCCCCCTCCTAAGTATGTTTTCTCATGGGCAGTAGCAAAATAACAGTTCTGTTTACTGAAATTTTGTCTTCGTAGGGATGTTAGTGTTTAGAAAACAGGCATAGTTTTTAGAAAGAAACAGGAATCTTAAGCCCAAAAAAGAAAAACAATTGTAACGGTAATTGAAAAAAACTGATAATCAATAATTATAAATAGAGTTATTTCTGTTATCTTGAATAATAGCTTGTGTCAGTGAGCAAATGAAAATTTAGACCAGTAGGGCTGTAGGACAAGGTTATTCTAGTTTTCTTGCTAAACAAATTTCAGAGTTCATTTATGAAAAGTTACTTTGATAGAAAAGAGCCATCCCTCCACATTCATCTGATGTCTGTAAAATATATATAATTTTTAAATTATTATATTCCAATAATAGCCAAAAAAAAATTGTTCAATTTTGACAAAAAAAATTCTTACTAAAATACGAGGAAAGGTCTCCTTATTATTAAAAGTTCATGATAACTACTCTTGTAAGAATTTCCTTTCTTAGCACAATCACCATCAAAAAAGTGTTGCATCATGTAACTGGTGTTATTTTTAAGGACTTGGTATTTAACTCCTCTTGACTTATTAGTACATGTTGTGTTATCCTGAGTATCTGAAAATAGGAAGTACACTTAATATTTAAGTTATATTTAATCTGTTACATTTATTTATGTCCTTTCATGACGGTCACAATTTTTTTTTTCACAATTATAGCAAATTTGGCTATAAGTTATCATAATTCTTTTCCTTATTTTAGTCTTTGCCAGGTGTGTAGGCTACTCCTTCACTTTAAAATATTGGACAGTTTTGAATAGTRTGTTTGTTTGGTTTTTTGTTTGTTTTTAAGGAATAGCACCAAATACAATGCTTGCAAAAATGTGCAGTGATCGTAATAAACCTAATGGGCAATACAGAATTTCTCCTGAGAGACAAGCAGTGCTAGACTTCCTAAAAGACTTGCCCATTAGAAAGGTAAGAGAGACAATGAATGACATTTGTTGTTCTGTCATGTAATGCTTTTATATTCTAGAAGCAAGATTTCTGCTGAAAAGATAGAGTTTTCTAGGTAATSTTCCATGCTGTATTTGATTTAAATTGTTCTTGGTAATGCATCTAMAGAGGTAATGTTTCCAGTATAATGTTGCATATTCTTTTTTAGGTACCTGGTATTGGAAAAGTAACAGAGAAGATGTTAAAAGCCCTTGGAATTGTGACTTGCTCAGAACTTTACCAGCAGAGGGCGCTGCTTTCTCTTCTTTTTTCAGAAGTATCTTGGCGCAATTTTTTGGATATTTCCCTTGGTTTGGGCTCAACACATTTGGAAAAGTATGCCTTGGATCTTTTTTCCTCCTGTGTTAACATTTTTCTGAATGTTTCCTTGTGTGTATTACATACTGCATATTATTATTTGACAAATATTATGGAACTACTTGTTTAATATATTTTTTTGAATCTCAGATGCCTGTTATTGTGATACTTATGTCTAAGATGTGGTAGCCAAACATTAAAAAACAAAGGTTTGTACATCCATGTCTAAATGTGAAATCCAAAGAAGTCTTGTCAGGGAAGTTGTGCATAAGCATACGTCAAGAGATCAAGATAGGATAACCTCATAATTATTGAAAGAGGGAACAGAACTGAGTTGTCCTAAGCAGAATTGTATACTCCCTTTTCTTCAAAAAGAATACAAATTCATTGGTGTTTATAATCACCAGATTATAATGAAAATCAGAGATTTTCAGAAGTATTTGGTCTTCTCTGGTGATAAATTATCTGTGAAGTTTCTGTGTCTCCTTTCAGGATTATGTATTTGTAATATCAGCATGTGAATTTGGTGGAATAGAACTGAAGATTATTGTATCTTTAATATATGTTCTTTTAAGGTTTGCAGTACTTTAATGGTTTTTAGCGTCCTTTTTAAGAAGGTAGAAAACAGTCTTACTACTGCATATATCTTTTCAACAATATTTGTCTTTTCTAAGCCTGTCCTGGAGGCAAACATGAAACACCTGTTCTTTAAAAAAYGCCAAGACATGGCACTTTACTATTTGTGTATGAGTCTTAAGTATTGATTAATTTTTAAAAAATACTCMTTTTCAAAGTACTGAAATTCGTTCTAAAATAGCTTGACAATGATTTGATTTCATTAGAAGTTCCAAAGTGTTTTATGTACTTCTGAAAGATGCATTCGGTATTATATTTGTAACTTGTCTAATAGTAATCTTCCATTTTTTCCATTTAACTAAAAAATATAGTTAGCAGTTTGAAGCTCAGTAATGTGCKAGCACAAATTYTTATGGGKTTTTTTTTTTTCTGTTCAAAGTACTCTGACTTGTGAAAAAATATGCAGTAACATTGACTTGGTGAAGGTGACTTGATAAAGATAAAATACAGTTTTCAAAAGATTTGTTTCTGTTAATATATAAATGGACCTTGGATAAAGTTTTGATAATTGGTGCATTCTTTCTTCTCATTCACCCTAGTTAGGCGTTGTACAGCCTGGAATATCTTGAAAAAGTACATTTTGAAAAAAAAGGAGCATTTCAAAGGGCAAGGATTTTAATGATTTTAATATCTATGAATTTTTTTTTTTGCCAGTACAGACTTGATTTCAGTGATTTTGGTGTGGAGAAAGCAGCCATCCAATATATCAACACCTGAGTCTTCAGTCAATAGTTCATCATAAAGTTATTGTCTCTGACTACCTTCTTTTAAGAAAATTGACAATACCAAATTTGTTATTTCCAACACTTACAAACAGAAGAATGAGCTAAAAAGAAATTGCTCTGAGGATCTCTTTATATGTGGAGGAGTTGTTAAAGGATGCTCAAGTAAAACWGAAAAGAAGGAAAGCAACAAGCAAAAAAATGTGTAACACATCACCTTTAATCTGAATAATCACTTAGACTGAAAACAAACTGTTTAAATATTCAAATATACATGTATGTACAGGATTCTAATAGCTGTGCTTCAAAGTTATGGCTAGGTGAGACAGCATAGGATTTGTAGTTTGTTTTATTTTTAAATGAGACTCCCTCTGGTATAAGAGCTGAGTTTTCTGGGGAGTTTTTGTTTGGTTGGTTTTTTAAACTGGTTTTTTTTTAAGACCTTTATGACTGATCTATGTCTTAATCTATAGAAGTTTGGTTTTTTTTATTTCTCCTTTTTGCACTTGCTTAAACAAGTGTACAAGATTTGTAGAAAAGGTTTACATCCAGGCTTTATTGAAGAGACTGCTGTTCGTTACTTGTGCATGATTGGTTGACTCTTGAGTTTATTGAAAAGTTAACATTTCTATGTCAAGTAAGTATAATAAATTGTTTTTCTCTTTGAAGGGATGGAGAAAGAAAAAGTATGAGTACTGAAAGGTATGCTTCTTTACAYTGAAAAAATTACCTTAATCATTAAAACTACTAAACACCAAGTAATGTATAATTTTGTTAGTCATACAATTTCATTTTGTATTTATTAAAAAAACCACAAGCTCACCAAATCAGATTCAAGCTTGCATTGTTTTTTGTCCATGGCTCCAGAATTCCGTGGACATATTTTTGTCAGTTTGTGTGTTCTCTTTTCTTATAAGGTGATTCTGCTAGTGCCTTTAATGCATTAAAGTGATCTTTGATAGGGTGAAATATATAAGGGCTTGAATTTTTTTATCTGTTCAAGTTAATGTCAGTATCAGTATAGTAGCATGCAGTAACATGTATTTCATAACTAAGGTTTTTACCAGCCTGAAGTTCATTAAGAAGATAGTTCATTTTTAAAAAAGAAGTTCAGCCAGGAGAATCTGTAAAGCACTATAATAACTATCCCTATCATCGTGTGTTAGATGGTAGAAAAGACTGTAAGAAAAGATTCTTCATCCTATTGAGACTTAGTAGTTGTGAGCAGCTTGAGTAAGCCCAATACAATTATGGYACCATCACTGCTGAAAATTTTATGGCTTTAGTCCTGTGCTGATTTGCAGTCAGATGGATATTCTTTATTGTATCTTTCTGTGTTGCTTTTCTTCTTTCTTTTTTTTTATTTCAAAGGGAACAGTTTCAGACCAGAAATGTCTACAGGCTTCTGAGATCATGAAACTAATTTATRTGGGGGAAGAGACAGCCCTAAAATACCATTTTCTCTGCCCTGTCCCTTCCAAAACTTGAACTTTTACAGCTTCTCAATCACTGCAGTATTGTCTGAATAGTATAAGTTATTCCTTGGACAGCAGTATGGGACCAACAGTGAAATACTCATCCCGTTAGTTTGGCAGTATATGAACATTCTTAGGGGAATGTGAATCGTAATARAGGATGACTTTTCACTACAATCAGGTAAAGCTGACTTTAATRCAGATGTGAAATCCATTGTAATTTTATCAACTTTGCACTCATCAATAAAATGCTGATATGAAACAGTGTATCTGTGAGACCTTTCCAAAAGCTTCTGCTCTCAGTAAGTTTTGCTTCTCTTTTCTTTTAAAACCTTGACTAACCAAAGGTTGCTTTTCCTCTGTCATAATTACTAAAAAGCAAATATACAATAGGAAAAAAAACTCACTGTAATTTCCCTACGAAGAGTCTTGTGCAAAAGCAGTTGGAAACATTTTTGGCAGAAGGATAGTTTTTCCTCCTCTGAGGCTAGACACAGTTTTCCTAGTTGGCATATTTTTCTTAGCATCTGCWTTATTTATTTCTGATACTTGGCTCTCATGTTGACTTCCAACTCCTGACTTTCTTCTGATGTTACACAGTGTGTTCAGAGGAGATTTAATACAAATAACTTCACTGGCTCTATGAATTCACTTACTGTTAGTATTCTGTCTTGTAAATACTTAAGCAGTAATGGCATTAAATCTGAATTATTTTCAAATAGTGCATTGAAAGCCAAATTATTTCATTATTTGAAGGATGTTTCAGACTTTTTGTGAACAAAATATTCCTATTAACAATCATTGTTCCTTGAAATAAGAACTTYAACCTGTACAACATTCTTCTGATAATAGTATTGTTTGGCTATTCAGAAAATACTTTTAGACTGTAGACACTAAACATATTACAGGATTCATACTGAAAAATATAATATTTTTGTCTTAGAACATTCAGTGAAATAAACACAGCAGAAGACCAGTACAGTTTGTGTCGAGAGCTCTGCAGAGACCTCGCTCAAGAGCTACAGAAAGAGGGACTTAAGGTATCTGTATTATTCAGGTTATTTGCAAAGCACAACACTTCATAGTCCCAACAATTCAATGCATCTTTRGTATAAATGCTTTCAGCAATATCATACTATGCAATCTATCTTCAGAAGTCTCCATTCTTTAATTTGCAGRTTTTTAGAATTATTTAGGCAGCATTTTTTTGTTGTGCAGGTGGCCACCTAACAAGATGTGTGGGATAAAAATTAAATTGATCAACCAAGTTACTTAACATACAAACTTTCTATGCTAAAAGCAATATTTATAAGGGAATAATAGAGCTGGTTGTCTATAAGCCATGTTTTGGTCTGTCATGTAATACTAATGTATTTAAAACACTGTGTTCCTCTCCTGTGTATGTACAGGATCCAGTCAATAGTGAGTTTCGTAGTTAAAGAACTTGATGTGTGCCAAACTTCCTGACAAGTTATACACACTATTCAATGGTATGAATAGTAGAAAGAGTCCCTTTATTCCTTCTTCCCAGATACCTGTTTATTATTTGGAAAGCGCTGTTCGTGTTTTCTTTGATGGTCTTATAGTAAAGCAAGGAATAACATTCAAGACGTAAAAGAATTGTCATTAGTCTTCTTCAGCCATAAAAGATTGTTTCAAAAGATGACAGGTTGAAAGGGAAATGATCAGCTAAGAAGCATAAGGGGATAAGCTTACAAAAGCWCCAGAACAAAAAGAATGCTATTTATTTATGTCTGGATGGACATGATAAATCACACAAATGGTTTGGGAGCTGTTGCCAGGGTAATATCTGTGCCAAACACAGACGCTGTGTGTGGCTGTGATAACAGTATGCAGGAGGAAATAAGTTTTCTGTAATTGTGTATCACTTTTGCATTCTTAGTAGTTAGGATATCTGGCATTGAAAATTTCCAGATGAGGAAATAATACTTTCTAGACAGGGTAGAAGTTGTGCCTGTAGCCAAAACATGAACTCTATAGAACATGCACTAGTGGCAGATGGTCTTCTGAGAGCCACAGTCAAAAGGCCCAATTCAGAGAATTCGACTTTGGCAGAAATTTAAGGGCAAGTACATAATCTTACAAATTCTTGGGAGTGCCCCTTGCTGTTCACAGATAAGCACACAGTCTCGCCAAGGCCTTATGTAGATGCTACATTATAATTGTTTTCTGTGCCGTATCTGACATACTTAACCTTTCTTTTTCTTGTATTTTTTTAGGGTAAAACTGTTACATTGAAGCTTAAGAATGTGAACTTCGAAGTTAAAACCAGAGCTTCAACTGTGCTGTCTTCTGTTTCTACTGAGGAGGAAATATTTGCTGTTGCTAAAGATTTGTTAGCAACAGAAATTGATAGTGTTGCTCCTCACCCTCTTCGGATAAGACTTATGGGTAAGATATTTCAAATTCATCCTGCTTTTTCAGAGTTAGGGTATTTTATAGTGTTTTGAAATAACACACTATTCTCTAAAGTGAAACCGGTATAAATGTATTTATCCTTTTTCTATTAGCCTAGTAGTTTTTGCAAAGTGAAACAGACCTGGGATGCTGAATGGTGACTCAGGAATGTTTTACAAATTGAGGTTGTACTTTTTTTTATGCAATAACATACACATCAGCATGATGTAGATGTACACATCAATAGAATCTTGACTCACAGCAGTGCTTAATTCTGCCGCCTTAAAGGAGCTTTTAATTCTACTTTGTACCACAGCAACAGAAGTGCTTATAGATGTGAAAGTGAAATATTCTGCAGGAGATGTGAACATTTCTGACAACAGTAAATTCTGTATTTTGACCTGAAGATATGTGTGTTTAAGTTGCTTATACATTCTGCTTAAAACTTTCAATGATGTACAAAACTTACTTGTCTAAGATATTAGAATGTGCTGAAGAAAAACGTATTTTGATTGGTAAAGGTCATGCAAAACTTTTCAGACTGAATTCTGCGTAACTGTATTATATTTACAGCTTCATGTTACAGTGCAATCAGTTAAAACATTAGGGTACTAAAACTGATAATATGGTTGGGCAAGTGTTTGGGTCTGATAAAATTGTATTGACATTGTGACACATTATTAGTATTTACGAGCATCTTTTTAGAGATACATTGGGCTTTTATTGAGTGATACCTCAAAAGGTTTAATTAAGAGTTAGTATCAAGCTTTCATAAAATTGTTATTATAAATTTGGTTTTCATCATTAGGTGTACGAGTATCAGGATTTCTAACTGAAGAAGAAAAGAAATACCAACAAAAAAGCATTACCAGTTTCTTAAAATCAGGAAAAGAAATTCGTTTTCTTAGGCATCAGCCACAGAAGTCCAACCAAGAGTATTTCACAAAAAATTCAGAAGCATCTCATAGACAAAGTTTTTTTGATCAAAAGCGAGCAGCAAGACAGCTGGACAGTGAGAATCTTTCTCCAAAAGAAACCAGAGGTAAGCAGCCCTTCCATGACAGGAAATCATCAGCAAATTTTGTGGAAGAAACAGAGGAAGTCACAGATTTACAGAATTCTAATGTTTGTAAGATCTTCACCTGTCCAGTTTGCTTTGAGGAGCAAAGCAGCAATAATTTAGAAGGACTAAATAGACATATTGATGAATGCCTCAATGGGATGCTTATTAAAGATACTGTGGAAATATCCAAGAATGACAGTTCAAGAGAAAGTATGCCTAACTTTCTTCAGTTTAAAAATGAATATGTTGGTGAATGTCAAAAAAATAGAACAGATCAATTAGCAGGAATAGACCATTCTGCAAGTGTATCTGACAGCTCTGCTAATAATAGCACAGAAAAATTTGGTCAGATAATATCTGAAAAATCTTCCAGAGAACGACAGCCTAGCACTCTGAGTGACATTGCTAGAAATGTGTGTATGGAACAGTGTCTCTTCCCCAAAASAACATCACAAGACAATGAAGACCATTTTGACAACACTGAACATACAGAAGGAACTAGTTCATCCTGTTTCTTTGAAGCCAAAGAAGATGGTGTTCTTGTTTGTCCAGTTTGTAATTCAGAACAGAAAACCACCAATCTTGTGTCATTTAACAGACATGTGGATGTCTGCTTAAATAAAGGCCTTATCCAGGAGCTGACAGAAAAAACCAAATTTCTGACTAAGAGTTACAATRTGGAAAACTCGAAGAAAGTTGGTAAGTATCAGCATTAGGATGTATTTGTTTATTCAAATTATCTGCTTGTGCCATTAAGATATGTTAGCAATGGTGTACTTGAAATTTGGACTTGAAATTTTTGCTCAACAAGCTTATTTTAGTAAGGCCTATATAGGAGTGAAATTGATTTAAAAAATATCAAATTTATTTTCATTACTAACTAGATTTCTGAATGTGGTATTCATTTGACAGTGCCCTCCCATTTGCCACAAAAGTGACATAGGGATTACTATGCATTTCTGTAAATGGTATGTTTGTTACACCCAATTGTATTCAGAAAGGTGCTTGTAAGGCCACTGAGATTAAAGTGACAATCAATGAAAACATCTCCAGCCTGGATTGTTTCAGAGATTCAGTTATAGAGAGGCTCCAAAATGTCATGTGCTGGCAAAAACAGGAAAGTGGTGACCTAGGGCTTAAAGGAAGAAACTSCCAAGCATGTTTTATAGGTAATAAAATGTATCACATACCTGCACCTATAACATGCCAAAGCAGTAGCATGTTTTCTGAAGTAGTTTCTCTTTCTGATGAAGAGTTAATCTTGGGCTAGATTGGATGGCGTGTACAGGTAGTAATCTGCCTAAGGTAGTCCCTATTTTGGGAACCTTGTAAAAGGAAAATAAAATGCTAGTGTGTTAGAACTTTAAGAATACCATTAAGACTTAAAATAAGAATCTTTTACACAGAAAATTTTCAAAGCACAGTTGCTGTTACATATGCAAACAGACTTTAAATTGAAGACTTTAGATGAAGTTTCCTTTTTTCCCCCTGGAGGATAAAAAATTACAAGCATTATTTTTCAGCTACCACCTTGAAAATCAACTATATTTCTGAATATATATGCTGAAATATTTCTGAAACTAATAAAAGATTCAAAGAATCCCTTATAATTCAATTAACTTAGGGCCTTTTCGACTTTCTCTTTTAAAATGTTAACATAAACTACAGTATTCAAGCTGCAGATAATTAAATGTTATCTGCTCCTTGAGACAAATTAAATTTTAAAAAAGGTCTTCTATGTGTATAATTTCTGAAGCATTCTTTCTTTATTGAGGTAATTGATTTTGGTTGTTTTCAATTACTTTTAAGGAGGTTTAAGCAAAGGACAACAATGCACAAATGTACCACAAGGAACAAAAAGGTAAGGGTTTTCTGGAAGCTTGAGTACACAAATTGTATTAAAATAATATAGTTTAGAAAAATATTCAGTGTTGTAAAACTTGTGTTGGTATGTATTGTATATTTTAACAYGTTACTGTTTTGGTCCTTTCCCTTTCTTTAACCTTAGGTCTGGACAAACAGCTTCGCAGTCAGTATCAAAAAAGGCCAAGTCAAGCAATTCCAAGCATACAATTGAGATGTTTTTTAAATGACTGTGTAGCAACCTATTCTATATGAAGTCTTTCATAGAGTTTTATGACTGCAAATTAATTTGGCATTGGTGTAGGCTGGGTTCAGGTGCCTGTCATTTTGGAACCATAACATATGTGAGTAAAAAGAACATGATGTCTAAGGTAGAAGAGGTACAATGAAGGTTTTTGGGTTTGTTTTTTTTTTTTTTGTTTTCTTTGGAGAATAATACTTACTTTTTTCCCAGTTGTTTTCAAGAATCAAAATTTGCTAACACTTTGATTTAGCTCCCTAGAACACAGGAATCATTAGCTAGGGTGCCCCACTGTACTTGCTAAAGGCCCCCTTCCTTCATCTGAACTTCTGTCTTCTCTGTTGATTTTATTGGGCAAATTAAATAATGAGATTAGCTGTGTGATAACAGGARTTGAGTTGCTTGATTTCAGCTAACAAATGTCTGTCTTAGCGGACACAAAAATTTATGGATCTTGAAGTTACAAAGGATGAGAAAAAGAACTTAGAGCACTATCAAGCCTACATTGTTGTTACTGAAAATTGCTTCAGTAAGAGCTGATAGACGACATCTGAAGGATTTGCTGTGATGAGCTACACAATGACTTAACTGATTTAAAAAATGTTAATAAAACTGTTGATGGACAGAAGGATGCCTCCAGGATAGTCAGATAAATGCTATTTTATCTTTGGCCTTTCCAGAGACACTGAGCACTTCTTCATGATTTGAAATTGTTACCAGTCAGTAGCACTAAATTTACTCTAAATAAAGGATTTCATGGTGCAATAATAGTGAATTGTGTGCAAATGCAAGGTAATGAACATTCTTACTGTTTAGCTATATTTCTATTTTAAATTATTTTGTAATTCTGAATGTAGTCTATGAATGCATATGTGGAAAGAGCAAATATTTTAAATACTGTTTAGATGTTTTCTGTTCACACCAAATTGCTAAAAGATATTTTATTGTAATTATTTATCAGACAAATAATTTATTATATAGCATGTTTCTTAGAAGTTATACAAATAATGCCAAACCCTGTATGAAAAATAAATTGCTGTTTAACTGCASTGTTTTAAAGAAGTGGCTACTGTAGAAGAATCTGTTTTGTTGTTTAATTGTATTGGAATGTGCTTGTTTTTTAAATAAACGAGTGTATACATGGTATGTCTTAGATGCCCAGGCTCACTTTAGAATATACTTTTTTGTTTCCAAAATTGCTGGAATGATCACACCAYCTCTGCCTGCTCATCCATTTTTTTGTCAGATGCCACTGTACCCACAGCTGTCATTTGAATTCATGTGAGTGCTCCTTTATCTGCTTTGGATCAAATCAGCTGGACTAGTTCAGACTGTAAACTGATTTAGTTGACTTTTTCTAAACCAGGTCACTGAACACTCAGCATGAGCTGGTCTATTGACAGAGATGGGAGCTGGGAATTTTTGGTAGGAARGACATAAAAGCAACTGAGGGAACGTAAGGTTGCCACTGCTGTTTAGAAAGTGAACATCTATCCCTATCTATTGCCTATTTTATAATGTGTATCTCTGATTCAATAAAGTGTAAAATATAAGCATTATCTTGTCATTGTGTGTATATCTTTAAAATGTGTATTTCTATCAAAGTATTAGGTAGCAAAAGGTAAGCTATTAAGTGCTTGACAAAATTAAGTTAGTTTGGCTTAGCCTCGAAAGTTGTCTTGWCATCTGTTTAAAAAGGAAGTGTCATAGAGTTGTCTGTGTGTCATGAAGAAGTTGTGGATGTGGCAGTGTTAATGTGAAAATAAAACTCACAGCATGATTGTAAATTATTTATTGCAATACTCCTGTGGGCTGACCCTGCCCGGATGTCAGACACCCACCAAAGCCAGTCTCTCACTGCCCTCCACAGCTGGATRGAGGAGAGAAAATATAATAAAGGGCTCATAGGCTGAGATGAGGATCTGGAGAGATCACTCATCAGATACCATCATGGACAACCAGCTCTGACTAGAGATATTAATTGAATTTAATTAATTAATTGAATATTAATTAATTTATTACTAACAAAATCAGAGCAAGATAATGAGAAGGAAAAACACACCTTAAAAACCCCTTCCCCACCTCTCCCTCCTTCTGAGCTCTACATCCTCTCCCCAGTAGTGCAGAAAGATAGGGGATGGGGGTTGTAATCAGTTCCTCATAGGTTCCTGCTCAGGGACAGGAGTCCTTCCCCTGCTCCAATATATGGGATCCCTCCCTGGGAAATAGTTGTCCATGAACTTCTCCAGCGTGAGTCCATCCCATGGGTAACAGTTCTCTGTGAACTGCTGCAGCGTGGGTCTTCTTCCATGGGGTGAAGTCCTTCAAGAACAGGCTCTCGCATGGATCCCCCACAGGGTCACAAGTCCTACCAGGAACCTACTTCAGCATGGGCTCCTCTCCAAGGGTCTGCAGATCCCTGCAAGGACCCTGCTCCAGCAAATGCGTCCAGAGGGGTCGCAGCCTCCTCTCAGGCATTCACCTGCTTCAGTGTGGGTCTCCTCCATGGGCTGCAGGTAGATCTCTGCACTCTCATTGACCTCTAAGGGCAGCAGGGACACATGGTCTGCACCATGAGAGGAATCTCTGCTGCAGCAGCTGGACCACCTCCTGCCCCTCTTTCTCCAGTAACTTTGGTGTGTGGCAGGCTGTTCCTCTCACATGTTCTTACTCCACTCTTCTCTGGCTACAATTACATCTGTGCAATAACCTTTATTCTTAAATCTGTTTATCAGAGAGACTTTAGCACCATTTCTAACTGGCACAGCAGTAGGTTCCATCCCAGARCTGGCTGGCATTGGCTTTGCTGGGTGTGAGGAAAGCTTCTTGCAGCTTCTCACAGAAGCCATCCCTGAAGCCATCCCCTGCTCCCAAAGCTTGGCCATGCAAACCCAGTACAAAACCCTATGTGTTTACTGGTTTACAAGTATTTCCTTTYCACCCTAGTCCTTATATGTTCTTATACCGTATTTATTATTGTTTTTATACTCAAAAGGCCTTCAATAAGTGAATAAGCACTGTTGTCAATTTCTGTCATACAATTTTTCTTCTTGTTTGTTGTGGATGTTTTGGTTTTAAAGCCCGGTGTCTGGCAAGTAAGAGAGAAACCTCTCTTGGACTTTCAGGCAAAGATATGGAAAAAGGAATAACAGTTCTTTACTAGTATGTATAACAAGGCAAATAAACAACTACAACGGCAGCGACAACAAAACCACAAGCGCAGCGCCAGCCCGCTCCGGGCTGTGAACCCAGCTCCAGCCCGCTCCGGGCTGTGAACCCAGCTCCAGCCCGCTCCGGGCTGTGCCGCGGCCTCCCCTGTGCTGCAGTTCCGCTCAGGGCCGGCAGGGGGCACTGGGGGCTCCAGCCAGGCAGGGTGGGGGCGGAGGTTCCCCCACACGGGCAGGGGGCGCTGTGGCATGAACTGAGTTCTTTTTCTCAGGTGGCWAAAGGTGGGTTCCACGGGCGGGGAAATAGGGAAGAGGGATTTCCTTTGCAGTGTCACAGGGGCAGSCGATCGTGGTGCCCCTCCGGATGGTGAGAAAGGCTGCAGCAGCGGTTCTCGGAGCAGGGGACGCTAGGTGCTGGCTTGCCCCGGGAATGACGTACAAAAGGTAGCAGAGACTCCGGGTCATGCCCGAAGCTGCAGGGAATCTGGGTGTCGAGTTACAATGCAGCAAAAAAGCCCTGGAACAGCAGCAGAGGACAGCCTCGGGTTCCCTGGGTAGCTCACCAGCCATGGCTGGTCCCTGGGTCAAGGCTGTGCAGAGTGGGCGCCCCACTGGCGGGGAGCGGGTCGTTCCCGGGTCTTGGCGCTGCACAAAGTGGCTCTGGGCCCCCAAGAAACAGGGAAAGCAGGCCAGTAAGCTCCAATCATGGTGCTGAAGGGAAAAAACAGGCAAAACCCAAGCGGTAACTGTATGTCTCCTGAGAGTAATCCCAGCAGGCGCTGGAACCCTGTCCTYCACCAGAAGAGACAGAACAACTTCACCTCAACTGCACCTCGTCCCCTCAGCCAACTCTCAGGAAATCTCGAGCTGGCTGTCACCTATCGCGATATCCCTGGAGGAGGGGGGTGGGGAGGGGATCCACGACTATTTGACACAAAACCAAAAAGCCCAAACCAAAAAGCAAAAAAACAAACAAAAAAAACCCCAAAAACAAACAAAACCCACCCCAAACCAACAAACAAAAATAACCGAAACAAAAGAAAAAAACAATGAGGAAAAAAAAAATAAAAAAACCTCCCCAAAGATGGACTAGGATAAAAAGACATCCCCAAGACAGTGGAGAAGACTGTATAAGCCATGTTTTTGTTTKGTATTTTTTCTCAGTTACTTTGTTTGTGTTATTCAACAGATCTTGATTTAAAATCTGTTTTAATTAGCATGTGAAAGTTTCTTTATAGCTGTCTTTAACTTAATTGCAAATGATTCCTCATGTGTGAGCCATTCCACACTTACTATATCCAGTTCCAAAGCATGTGAATGAACTAGGTTGGCAGCAGATGAGACTTCTTATGTAGCATAGTATGTCCTTATTTAAGGTATATATGTAAGTATTTTTAATTCCTCTTTTCGTTATGAGTAAAAGAGAAAAAAGGTAACAATTCTATGATCTGACTGTTTTTCCCTCTGCCAGTTCTGACAAAAGGAATTTAGACAGTCTAAACATTCAATATGCTTGGGTCTCATGTGTTATCTTTATATTGGCTCTAGTCATTTACGTATGTATTAGTACTGTTACCTTAAATATTAAATAAAGTKCTCAGATTTCCTGTCAGAGTGAGAGCTCTGTGAAGCCAAGTAAGGAAGATGCTRCAGTACTTCCTTGCTCTGCATTCTGTTTTGGATTCTTCACTTCTGTAAGATTCTGCATCAGTCTGCAGTCTATTGGTGCTATATGAAAGAGTCAAGATTGTGGGAAGTGGTTAGAGAATGTGCTAAACTTGCTACTTGTAAAGTAGCAAGAGCAGAGAGCAGAATGTGCTGTGAAATAGTATTATTTGTTAGTAATTAGAATGGGAAACTAGCAGCTGGTGTTTCATGACTGTATGTAAAATTATGATTTTACTATTMCTCATGCTTGGTACATGTTGAAGCTGCAAATCTATGCCTTCTTCRTTGCCAGCTTTGTAGGCAAACGAAAATTATTCGATAGTTGTCTGTTGTCACTCTTTTGAAAAGAAGCATTAACATTTAAAACGGTGGGTCTATATCACTGCACAGAAATATGGTAACGCAAACCTTCCTTCTTCTTAAGAAATTGCTGGAACTCTTGACTCACAGCTACCAAGTAAAAGTGAAACCTCCATGATTCAGTTATGGCTAAATCAGTTGCTTGTTCTCACTGAGTTTACTTTCACAGGGTTGTTTTTTCTTTCAGCTGGGCAACACTCACCTACTGGAAGTACAGCTGATGAAACTATCTGTCATGGTTTTGCTTGGTCCARTTTTTGGTGGTGGGGGATGGGGATCAAGAAACCACAAAGATGGCTGCTGTGAGAAGTCCTASGGGTGTCTMSTTCTTCTTCTYCTCCAGCWAAGGGAGCCCTGCCCCACTCCTGTGTTTCAGAGCCAACCCATCATTGGTTCTGAGGTTGATGGACAGGCTGACCATCAGGCCTGGGCCAATTGCACAGGATAGTTACCTGATGATAGTCATCACCTCTGTGATGACATATTTTGTTGTATTTAAGAAGGAATTCAAAACAAGATAGATGCGGCCGCCATGTTAGCTTAAGTTGAGAGCATGTAGTTTTAGTATCTTGTACTGGAAAAAAAAACAGAGCAGGAGGGTGAGGAGATGTAAGAAGGAAAATGGAGACCTAAGATCAGAACAGTAAGGAGAAGCTGTGCCTTTGCTGTGGTTCTCGACAAGCTGGAGGAGATAAGTTGTTCTTGAAAAGGACTATTTCCATCATATTGAGAGAGACCTGTATAGAGAAGTAAAGCGACCTTGCTGTGAGGAAAAAAAACCCTGGCCTTTTGAGGACYGGACTGTTTTGATTATGAAGCCAAGAAATAGAGAAGAGGTTTGCTCCCCCCACAACGTTTTGATGTAGAAGAAGCTGTGTTTTGTGTTCTGCCAGGAGGTTTGTGATAATCGGACTCACGTCACTGCAAAAAACAACATGAGCCTTGAAGGACATTTCTTTTCTTTTCTCCTGCGAGGTAAAGAGATTTCCTTTCCCTGCTATTTAGCAGTTACACACTGACTGTTTCTCAGAAAGGACACATCCCACAGCTGGAGCTGTAAGAATGTTTTTCTCCTACAACACTTGGACAACAGCTGAGTGTTTTGATCTGTGTTAGACTTTCATTCTCCTGCCCCCCTGTGTGTGAGGGACAACATAGGAGGGGTGGAGATGGGGGGACTTGGAAGAAGAGACGGGTCCCTGGGAAAGTGTAACAGGTGTCTTAAAATGTCCATTTTATTTTTCTTCTCTTTGTAAATATCCCTATCTTTGTTTTTTTCACCCAGTGCCATTCTTAGTAGTGTGTAGTAATAAATCTGTTTTTGCAACTTAAGTTATGCAGCCTGTCTGACTATCTATCTGGAGCACATACATATCTTAACTCCCAGTTATGCCATGTTTATCTCAAAGTCATAAATATTTCGTGTTAATTGGGTTTTCACTTTCCCTTCTCCCTCTCCGGTGGGGGGGGGAAAGGAGGGAATGTCGTGGGCACAGTTCAAACCACAACATTTCTGGTGCGTTGGCCGGGAAAGTGAATTTCAGGCTTTTAAACCCACGACACTGTCTTATCAGACTAAGGTATATCAATTGTAAAGATTTTTATACATCACAGCCTGTCTATACCAAAAATGTTTAAAGGAGAAAGGAACTCTGAAAACTCTTCCTCTATGGTAAGCAGAATCTGAGCAGATAGTTCTTTTATCCAAATTTGTTCAATTTACTTTTGAGTCTTTCAGATTAATTTTATTATGGACAGGTATGGTGTTATTCATCTTGGAAATTAGGATGATTGTGTAATTTAAGAAAAAATTACAGTTAAGGAACTCAAATGCATCTACAGTTGTATGAGGTTGAATACTAATAGTTCTGCTTTTTTGGAACTACTYTTTCTATATTTGTTTTGAAATAGGGATGTCAAAGGGTGTTTTTAAAGTAAAATCTAGGGTAGTCTCTTAAAATTATGWTCTGTCATGGAAAAAATAAAAGTCTTTGTGAAAGGAGTGATCAATTCTGGCTTAAATAGTCCAAAATCATAGTGGACTTCAAGATAAATTGAGAAACAAGTAGGTTAGATGGATCTCAGTATGTCACTTCACAAAACCTGAACCTTTGGGGATGTGTGTTTTGATTTTGATAGAACTTTGACAAAAGCAAATAAAAACATTTTCTAACTGGAATTGAAGGGGCGTGTGATTGGATCAATATTGCTTCCCCATGTGCATAGTTACGCACAAATTTATGGCAGAAGCACCTCAGTCTCTCACATCCTAYGGCTGTGTGAGGCATGCAGGAGTGCAGGGATGATCATCTTCTGTCCAGTGAACACTAGCTGGTGATGATGAGAATAACTCCCCAAAATGGTTTTCAACCTGCAGAGTGAGCTCCATTATTACCCAGTAATTAGCAACCTGGCTCCAGGCATCACCTGGATACCTCCATGTGCTGATACCTCTGTGTGTCTGTATACACGTGCTTGTAGCATGGCTTTTCAAAAGTGCTCCTGGTGTGTCTGGTGCCACGGGCCTGCCTTTTGTCTCCTGTGTGCACTTGTAGGTGCTGACTGCTCCTGGCACATTAGGCCGGCTGCCTGGAGGGGATTGGATAGGGCAAGGATGCTCCCATTCAGTGCCTAGTCAAAAAATGCAGTGCGTTTAGTTCCTGGTTTCTCTCAGCACAGACTCCTAAAGCTGCTGCAGAGCTGTGCCCCTTCATGCGGTGTGTCCGGGCGGTAGGTGCTGTGCAGGTGTGCCCGCAGGGGTGTGTTAGCCCGGCTGCCTGTGCTGCAGCTCTGGGAACCGGTTTGTCGGGGACACCTCCCTCGGCACACCGGCCTGGGGCCCCTTGCCTTGGCTCAGGAGGAAGAGGAGCCCAGGCAGCAATGAAGGGTCTGAGCCGCCTGCTCCGCGCCGSGGAGGATGCCGCGCTGGGAGCCGTGACAGGGAGCCATGAGGGCCGTGAGTGCTCGGGGGGTGGAGGGAGGCCCGGGGGCAGCGCAGTGCCGGGACCCGCGCTGTGGCCGCACATCCACGGCGGGACAGGCCCCGTCAGGGCTGTGAGACCCACCCGAACCCTTCTGCCTTGACCGGAGAGCAGAATGAGCCGTGGGGGCTGGAAACGACAGCGTTACACACCAGCTGTTTTACATAGAGTGAAAGACATCAGGAAACGTGTGGATGTGGGATTGGGAGCTGGGTTTTGGCGTGTTGTGTTTCAAGGGGAGAGTCCTGCAAACTGCCCAGTGCCCTGCTTAACTTCCCTTCTGAACTRTTCTGAGAGGGTTTGCTGGCTTTGGTCACCCCCCTGGAGCTGAGCATCTGCCACCAGCTCCGCAGCCGATCTGGGCCCCCATTTGGGGAGGCAGGCAGGAATCAGAGGACCCTGCGCTCAGAAACAGCGCAGTGATGGCATCTCCAGCCTTCAGCCTGCTAACCAGTCTGTGGAAAACAAACTGCTCTGGTGTGAGCTGCACTTACTGAAAACAAGCCACTTGTGGAAGCTGAGTGTAGTTGTTAAACCATGCTTTGCCCCYGTGATCACAGTGTGACAGCCAGGAGCCGTTATCTTGGGCTGTCATTGTTGCTCCCAGGCTGGCAAGGAGGGCAGAAAAAGATAATRAACTAATTAAATATCACCATTGGGCTCAATAGGTAGTTTTTCCCTGACTTATTTCAAATGGAAAATTACTATTTTAGAAAAAATACTAGTGACTTAACAAAATTCCTATATTCCTCTATGAATTTTATTTCCAATAAAAAGAAAACATAGAGAAAATATTGAAGATGTTGCCAGATCATTAAATATATTATTTAATTTAGAAACAATTGGGTAAAAATACTTTTATTGCCATTTGAATCCAAATATTATTTTTTACTTTTACCTCCTTGGAACACTTCAGCTAGTTCAGATTCTAGGTTTTTTCCCCATGTACTTATTAAGATAATTATAGATTTCATCTTTAGGACACCACAACAGGAAGTTAAAAATAGACCAGGGAGGTAGGAACACACACGGAGGGATTTTCATTGTCTATCAGTACTGAAACCTGCACTTTTATGCTTCTTCGGAAATCATCCTTATTTGGGGTATTCCTGAAAGGCAGAATGAGGCCTCTAAAATAAGACATACCTAAAAGAAAAAAATTGAAGGTACCTCACTTGTTGCTTTGAGGTYAAGCAAGCAATTTACTTTTCTGAACTTTTGCTTACTTCCTTGCTTTTCCAAGAGATGAAAAATCTTGGGATGTTGTATATGCTGCTGGCAGAACTCTCTACAAAGGAAACCAGCTGTATCAGGGAAAGAAATCAAAGTACTAATTTCGGTTACCTCAAAAGAAAAACTCAATATAACTGTTTAATTGTTATAATATAAATATATAGTTATGACATAAGCCAGACATTTTATATGATACCAAAAAAAAATTTCCCCTAAAAATCTGACAGCCACAAATARATAATTGATTGCTACTGTTATTTGAAAATATGGTAATTGCTTGTAACAAGGAGTGCCACATCCTGGAGACGCCCACTTGAATAGGTGGCTTTCCATAAGTCTTAGTCTGACCACTTTGTATTCCTGTAATTTCATACAYAAAAAAATAATTTTGCAAAAGCAGCAAAAATTTAGGCAACAAATCAGTGCCATGGTTTGTCCACACTGTCATGRTTCTTAACTCCTGAATGAGTAAGAAGTACAAAGAGAGAGAGATTATTAAGAAATGCAATGAGAAAAAGAACAAAAAGTCTTTTAAACAACACATGGCCAATTCATGGCTTCTGGACAAGAGAGAAAAGTCATTAATTAATTCTTTGTCAGAACTACAAAACTACCCTTGCTGATGCATATACAGTAAAGAAACATGATTTTGTCTTGTTTATTAAAGGCAATRTTGAGTAAATTCTTGGGGTTTTTCCTGATTGTCCTGAGATGCATTTATCTTTGTAAGATACAGCAGTAATTAAATKCAGCTAATTATGCTGTATGTTTCCTTCCATGTTTTCCACGAATTTGTCTTGAGCAAGGTAGCCTTTGACCATTSGTTTACCTTGGTTTGAAATCAAGTTAGTGGAAAGTACCTGTTACCTTAGGGTAATGACTGTGAAAACTGGGAGTGAGATGTTTATTTTTCAAAGGTCAGTGTTCATTTTCTGTGAGCCATGCTCCTTGTCACAGACTCTAGGAGTGCATTTTAATTTGGAAATGCTGCTTGGTTTTTTTTTCCCCTTTGCATTCCCTGTACCCCCATGATGCAATAGAAACAACACATATTCTATGATTTCCAGAGAAATTTGGAAGGATAGTGCTTTTGTTTGAGGCACGTGGATAATTTCATAGGAAGACTAGAAACACCTTTGCAAGTATCCAGTTTAATTTCTGTTTAATTTTCTACAGTAAAACTGTGATTATTCTCCCTGAGATTATAGCCACGGGTATCAAAAAAATGTGATTAAGTGAATTCCATCCTAATTTTCCTTAGTATGCAGTCATGCTGCCTCAAGCTGTGTTCCTATTAGGCATTAATGAACTTAGGCATAATGCAGTAGGATGAACTTGCCTGAGAGAACTCTAAGGAATAGATAATTGCTGTAGTTCCTGGTTCAATGGAGTGCTGCCTMCTTGGTGATATCATTGGACAAGTGTCTGCCAGCCCAGAATATTMCAGACAGAAGATATCTAACTAATTATATTTTAAGTGTGACATGCTATGGGATTAAAAGTATCTAGTAATATTTTTGCAACTAATTTAATTGCTACACTATTTTTTCCTAAGTGATTAATTAATTGTTAGAGGCATGAAAAATATTCTGACCTCTGGCTAAAGCAGCTATCAGACATTGGAATTTTACTTTTCAAAGCTACTGAATATGCTTTGCAACTACTTTAGTTGTTGAAATAGATGCTAATTTTTAGTTTGAGACATTAAAGGAAGGTTTCAGTTTAAAAATGAATATCATATTATGGCCAAATTTCGAGTTCRTGTAGACACCTTTTTGTTTGTTCCCTGTGAAATTCCTTGTTCAGCTGCTTGGGTTTTGTTGGTTTGGTTTGGTTTGTTTTTCCAGTCATGTCATGCTGTTTGGTTGCTGCTTTACATATTTTGTATTTCAGTGGTGTATTCTCTTTTGAAACGAACAATTTCTCAAATAATAGGAAATAAATGCTGCAGTCTGTACCATTCTAGGTACTATGCCTATATAATAATTTGTGAACAATTTAGATGGCAAGAGCTTCATAAATAAACTGTTCCTGTGAGTGCAAACTCTGCTAATCTATGTTGTGTTCCATGTGCTTCTTGCACTTAAAAGTTGAAGTTCGAGATATCAACCATATGTCTCTAAAGGAGAAAAACATAGTCATGAAACACTTTGATGACGAGAAGCAAGTGATTCTCATAACATTAAGTCAGTACAAATAACAGAGATTAAAAACAGTATCATCACCCTTTATCTTGRTTATGGCTACTTTTTTAATAATACAAACTTATTTATTCTGTTTTTCCACAGTATTGCCAGATGAGAGAGAATTTCAGTATGCYGCTAAAAGGAACAATCTGGATATCATGGAAAAGCTGTTTAAAAAGAATGTTAATATAAATGCTGTAGATACTGTGAGTATGAAGTGCCTGATAGGTCTCTGATRTGAAGGGTGACTCCTCGGGGCTGCRTGGTGGAATGCCAGCATGCCCCTCAGCTGCAAGGTGGTGGGSCTGCAGAAGTGCCCTCTAGGACCTGATGAAGATCATACAGCCATTCCAGACACTGGGATTTGTAGATTTGTCAGGATTCTGTGTTTAGCCAGTAGCCCATGTATCACATTGGGACCTAAGGACTTCTCAATTGTGGCCATGCTCTAGTGTTTCCTCAGAGCTCTTTGGCAGTGAATTTCTCAAGTTGTCCATCTTTCTGAGTGTGATGACTTTGCCTCAGAGTCGCTTAAAGAATTTATTCATGCTGCTAGCATTGCAAGTTGCTGGAGAGAAGTATTGCTCTTTGGTTTGCATGGAACCATGGGAGTATTCTACAACATCCTCTGGCTCCAGTCTGAGCTTAGAGTTCAGATTTWCCCTAGATACACAAAAATGCATTTCTTATGCTGACTTCAACTCTAGGCCTAAAATCTGAGGATGTATACTTCACAGTAGAAAATTTTAGCACTGTGTTCCACATGAGAGGTAGTTCAACAGCAATGCAGCAGTCATGATATTAATGCAGGAGTTTGGGATAACAGCTCAGTGCCCTCAGTTACAGCATATAAATTATGTGGCCATGAAAATCCAGTGTTAATCCTGGGTTCTGAAAAAATTTGCTTCCCRTGCCCACATGAAGTTTCCCCCATTGGGAAATAGAGAAGATAGTATGGTGCATTCCTTGATTTTTTTGTGAAACAGACAAGGACATTTCTTCTGAGTATACTTCTACTACTGAGAGTATTCTCATCAATTTCATTATACTCTAAAAAGTCACTCAAAAATAGTTCTTGCTTCCTTCTTGCTTTCCAGAATTCAGGAAATTAAACTACATACATTTTCAGTCCACTCGTTTGAAACTTTAGTTTGTCATCCTTAAATTAGACCTACATTATGAGAGAGTTAGTACTGTAGCTACTGGGGTGTTATTGATTGTCCTGGTAGGGGTGTAGTTTATGCTGGCAAAGCCATTCCCTTTGTTCATGTCGATCATTCCTGCCCCTGTATTCYCAAACCAGATAAGAAAGGCTGTCAAAAGGTAAGGTTTTGATAGTGCTCTTTCTGTATGAGCGGTTTTTTTCTGACATAAATACTCATTCTAAATCCCACCGTTTTATGCTTTTGATACATACAGTTGTAAATTTAAATTTATACATGTAGAAGTCAGGTGATCTGCAGAGAAGCATAAGAAAACAAATCCAAACCAACTTACAAAATTAGTGGGTTACATCTCTGAGACATCTTTGTGTGGGAACTATCAGTGAATTATGTTAAACAAAGTTATGTCCACTTTAACTGAAAGCAAAACTATCCACTGAAGTTTGATTCAATTTAACAAATYTCTGTTTAAATATACACCACTAATTACTTTATGGAAGTCTTCCTGATAACCACTGAGCCTATTCACCTCTGTAAAATGACTCACTGTATGCAAGGTGGTAGCTTTGATTTATGTAGGTAATGACTCAGTGTGAGAAGGTGACTAACACTGAGTGAGGGTGAAATCTCAGCTTGCATTGCASAGATTTAGTCAAAAGCAAATCTAACTGCGTGCATATAGTCCTCAGCTTTTCAAATCACACCATGCAATAAAATAATAAACAAGGATGCTTCTTGTACTGCATGTGTCTCTCCTACGCAGTGTTTGACTACTTAATCCCATTTTGATGTTTCATTGAATACTATGTAGACCAACTAAATCATTCAGTTTTTACAAGAATTCTCTAAGATCAATACCTAAATTCTATCCAAGGAAACAAAAAATTTAGCTAAAGACCAAGTGTGACTGATGAAAGAGAAATACAAAATGTATATATTTACTCATACATTTGGTAATAATCAGAGATCATTAAAGTAATCAAAATAATCAAAATCTGGATCACCTGCTCAGGGAAAAGAACTGCGTTACAGATCTAAYAAACAAAGCTTTGCTTATTCCAGCTGAAGCGCACTGCATTCCATTTTGCTGTTGCGGGAGGCCATTTGTCTGTGGTRGATTTTCTTCTTCATCACAAAGCTAGACTTGACATGGCAGATCAGGTAAGTTGGCTTACTTGTTTTGATTCACATGTATAGGAACACATTCGGGGAAAAGGAAAAGTAGATATTTGTGGTCACAATGGTGCAAAATTAAGAGTTTGCAGTAAAAACTCTGGTTTGTCTTAGAACTGCACATGTTTATATRAAAAAAGTATTTTTAGAGGAAAATCACGTTGCCCCAAGTACTGGCTAACGTTCATATCTGAGTGAGCACAAGGCACCTCCCTTGGCCAGGTGGCAGTGCTTTACCTAATACAGCCAAGGATATTATTTGCCTTGTGTGCTGCAAGAGCATGCTGCTGACTCATGTTCGACTCTGCACCAGGAGCCCAGGTCCTCCTCTGCCAAGCTGCTTTCCAGGCCCCAGTCAGTAGCYCAGTACCTCAGGTACAGGACTTTGCATCTCCCTCTTGGATTTCATAATGTTCTCACCAGGCCATTTCTCCAGCCTGTCAAGGTTTCTCTGGATGGTTGCACACCAGCCTGGTGTGTTAGACATTCCTCCCAATCTGTAAATTTGCTGCAGGTACATTCTTCCCCTCACTCAGGTTATTGGTGAAGATGTTAAATAATGCTGGACCCAGGATGAATGCCTAGTGTGCATTGCTTGTGACTGACCTCCAGCTCTTCATAGCTTGGAAGGTTTTTCAGGGCAGACTTTTGAGCCACAGCTACAAATTTTAYCCAAGCCTAGATTTCTCGTGTTGCCTGCATACCAGGTGCATATTCCATATTGTCCTCCACTGTTTTCCACTACGATTTCTGCAAATACAGGAAAGACATTGATAAGCTGGAGTGAGACCCAAGTAGAGCCTCTGGAATGATGAGAACTGCAACACATGTGTATGAGGAGGTGTTCCAATATCCAACCTAAACCTCTCCTTACACAGTTCCATGCCATTCCCTCTGGTCCTGCTGTGGTAACCAGAGAAGAGATCAGTGCCTGCTCCTCCTCTTCCCCTCACAAGAAAGTTATAACTGCAATGAGGTCCCCCCATYAATTTCTTCTCCAGACTGAACAAACCAAGTGACCTCAGCCACTCCTCATGTGACTTCCCCTCAGGGCCATTCAYCATTTTGTCACCCTCTTTGGACACACATCCTGCAAGGCTTTACATCCTTGCGTTGTGGCACCCAWAACGGGTTAAAGCACTGGAGGTGAGGCCACATCAGCACAGAGTAGAGATAGTGCTTTTGCTTTTAAGATGTTAAAAACAGGGTTCTTTTTTTCCTATAAGAGAAAAAAGTTTGAGAGAATTTGAGAGAAGAGAACCTTAAAAAGAAGCCTAAGTGGAAAATTATGGTGACTCATGGAAATATAGTCGTTGCATATCATCACCTGAAATGTCATCCACTGCACCCTCGGCTACATGGTTTCTGGAGAGAGAAAATGATTTCCAGTAGGGCTTAATCCCCCCATCTTAAAATGAGATCAGTCCTTCTCTGGAGATGCCAGACCTTCTGTCAAGAAGAGGGCAGATTGAACATTTAGCTATGTCTTGCTCTGTTATGTTTAGCTTAATTTAAGTAGATTAATACCACCCACACTAGCAGGTGTTAACATTGCTTCTCTAAAAACCTGCAGATTGGAAACTACTAATACACTGAATTGATCAAAAAGATGTTAAAAAAWTTGCCCTGAGGTGTTTTGGTGGTAATTTCTGCCTTTGTCATTTTATTTGAAGCATGGCCTGACAGTGATTCATCTCGCAGCTTGGACTGGAAATCTGGATATAATGCGAAARTTAGTTAAAGCAGGTGCTGATCAAAAGGCTAGGAATGAGGTTTGTTGATGACAAATTTTTACCAACCCTAAACATGTTTATGTTGGAAAAAAATCAAACATTCTTACAGACTGACTTATCATTTTTCAGGAAGGAATGAATGTACTGCACTTTGCAGCTCAGAACAACAGCGTTAAAATAGTTGATTATTTTCTCCAAGATCTTCATCTGAATGACTTGAACAAACCTGATGGGGTACAGTGAGTTGCTGTTTCTTTGATGTAATGAGGCTTTTGTTTTGAGGGAAATCCTGACTTGGGGAATTTTAATGAATTATTTATGGACCGTTACATATGCTTTGACTTACTGCCTTAGACACTGAGAAACAGGTAAAAGAAACAGCCAGACAAGCACTTATGGGAAATGCCTTTCCTCCCTCTTTGGCTATTTCAGTGGGACTGCAGACACCTCTCCTCTGCTGTTCTTGCTTTTCCTTCATGTGGTGCTCAGTTGTGGTGAGGCAGTGGGACGCAGAGGAGGTTGGGTTCCGTCCACAGTGGATTCCTTTTTTCCTGCTCTTTATTTCTTACTATTTTCCTCTGCTCCAGAAAGCTTCGTCCATGGGCTGTGGTCACCCTGTGGGTGTACCTTCCCCTGTGTCTCCTCCTGTATCTCCTCCTGTGTCTCCCCTTGTGCATTCTCCCCACAGCAGTGACCAGCCTTTCTCAAATACATTTTCACAGAGGCATCATTTGCTCCTCAGATGCRTGAAGTGCCTGGCCATGTTTCATCAAGGTAGAATATAGAGCTGCATGCAGGCATCCTACAGAGGTGTGCTGACTCGCCAGCAGTGCTTTTTCCTCAGTTTTTCTGTGGTTTTATTTTTTCATCCCACAGTGTTCGGATCTTGTTTAATCATTACATAATTAAGTAAGATATTTTATCTTTTCCTTTTATCAGGAAAACTTATTCGTATGAGATCTGACACCAAAAGAAAAAAGTCTCCCCTATTTTTTTCTGAGATTCTTGAATTTTGTGGACCCAATGGCACAAAATTCTGAGTTCTTTTTACACACGACATCTGACAAAACAGAGTTAATTTAACTAAACATATCTTTGATATTTTAGGCCTTGGGAAAGGAAAGGCAGGGAAGCATCTTCTTTTTGTTGAGGTTGCATCATGGTTCTGTATTAGTTGTCTGCATTTTTTTCCTAGACATTTATACAGGCCACTGTCAGGTATGATATGAAACCATTTTTAAGCTAGCTGGTTTTATGCCTCACTAACTGAACAGTGGTAAGGTTTTGTGTCAAGATAACTTTCTGCAGTTGAGTTTTTAAACGGTTTGTAAAGTTCTGTTAGTTTTAACACCATCAAAAACCCCCACAATATACAGTGCTAAACTCAACCTTCCTGGATCAAACTTCTGAGATCAAACTTCTGATCTGTGCTTGCAGAATTTGACTCAAACAAATCACCCAACAGAAATAAATCTTGCAATTTCTTTGTTGCCTGTTTCTAAGCATCCTCAGACCTTTAATGACACAGTTATTTTGCTAAATATTTTCATACTGAGAAAAGACAGGATTAAAATATTTTGAGTGTATTTTCTACTTTTTTACTATTTCTAAACAGCTTTCATATGTTTTATTCAGGGTATGTAAGACGTAGGATCTGTTTATTAACACTAAGTATATTTTTAATTATCTTCTATATATCTACTGTTTTGTTAATCTCCTTATATATGATATATAAATTTTTATGTAGAATATACACATACACATACGCATTCCAAATATCTATTAACTAGAAGTACTTCTACTTTTCTGTAACACTATGTTTCTTTCCATAATTTTTTTCTAGAAAGGTAAAAAGCCATTTCTTCTGGCCTCTGAAAAAGGCCATGTTGACATGATAAACAATTTGATTGCTCTGAAGCTATTTACATCTGAAAAGGATAAGGTAAATAGTTATTTTTCACAGAAGTACAACTACAAATGTGCTTATGAAAGGTAATTTTATTTCACTGTAGWTATTACACAGCCAGAATATCTGAGTGTGCTGATGTTATAGTGCTGGTAGTGATATCTGGGACCAACAAACATAAAAGGATGGTGATTTTTTTAGTGATAAAGGGGAGACAGTGGCATGATTGCCAGGAGACTTATCCACACACATTAATAATTCATGCAAAGCAAGACTAGCATATGCTGTCTGTTGAGAGAAGTGGAAAAGCCTGGTGATGAAGGTGTCAGCCTCTGTACTGGGAGATCATATTTCCCAGTGTTTCACTCTGCTTGGCTGTGTCTGTGTGTCACTGCTAAGTCCTGCATGACCAGTTTTTCAAAGGTGTTTAAATATTTCAGGATGCAAATAAACTCCTATTTTTTTTTTCAGAGGCATCTTAACACTTCAATCTGATTGAGTTTGCTCTAACACTGTACTTTAAAATATATTAGTAATTTTCAAAGTCTTTCCTTAAATTTATTTCCTCCTTACTTAACTATTTCTGGAACAAGCAAGTTGGTATTTCTCTGCGTCTGAGGCGTTGCAGGGAGAAATACATTAAAAATTGTGAAATTGTCAGATACTGCATTTACAAAACCACATAAGTAAGCATTCAGGAAGTGATGTTGGGTTTTTTGATATTCTGGTAATATTTTAARAGCTGCAGTGCCACCCAAAGCTCTGCTGTGCCAAGCAGTTTATTAGCAGTTGAAAGGTAGTGCTGTCCCAGACATCAAGCAGGTTAGAGGTGTAAACAGCAACAATGGGAGGTAGATGCTGGGGTACTGCAAATTAGGTAAGAAGCCAGGATGGAAACTCATTTCCGGGGTCACTAAACCCAACCACACTGTAACCATCACTGTTAAAAAGGATTCCCACTTTTTCCCACTCAATGCTGTGAATGAAAAACTGTTCTAGACTCTCATTTTTCTGAGGATTAGAGTTTTTCTCCTAAGTTTTTAGCCATTTTTATACTATTTGGTATGCTAGCATTTTCTATTAGTTCAAAACCTGCTGGTCTTCCTGAGGTTGCTCTTTGTTTTTATTTGCTCAGTGTTGTGGTTTTTTGGTTTTGGTTTTATTTCCGTTTTGTGTTTCTTAATTGGCTGGAAAGAAATTGCACTGAATTGCACTGATGGTGACAGATTGAAGATTACAATGTTGATTCAAAGCTATGACAAATTTCTATATGCTGACCTGGGTTTTTAAAATCTATAAATCAGTGGTCTTGGGGGTTTGGTGTAGCACCCATCCTTGGGGGAATTGGTGCCTGAAGTTTTCTTCTGATAAATTCGTTAGCAGTTAGAATTTCAGGTCTTTTTTCTGTATACACTGAAGTTTTCAGACTACTGACTAGATCAGCAATGTTTGCATACTTGTGAAAAGGCCCTTTGCAGATTAGACTGAACCTTGGAACATRCTGTGTGGAGCTGTCTCCTTTTCCTTGTACGTAAAAGAGACTTGTAGGTAGAAAAACAAAGGCTTTGTGTTGGTTTTACTTAATGTCTTTGTCTGGGTTTTAAAATATATTATTTGACATTTTAATTTCAAGGAAGGAAACACAGCATTGCATTTGGCAGCCAAAAATGGTCACAGTGAAGTTGTAGAAATTCTGCTTGAACAGTGGGAGGAAATAAATGACCTCAATCAGGTATGTACACTGAAACTACTGAAAGAAATAAAGTTAGAGATATGAATAATTTTCTAAAAAATAAATTTGAAACTAATAGATGTGGCACTGAGTAGACTTCATTAATTTTGCTTGTTTCCTAGTAAGTTCACATTCTGTTTTCTTGTTCCTTGTCCGATAAATTAACCTCCATTAACCCCTTCAGTGTCTCTTGCTCTGTCCTTTATTCCTCACATCCTCCCCTCCATTTGGCATGCCCTTGCATAGCTACTGGTAGAAGAAAACAGACAAAAGCCTTAACCTCCCTTGCTTTCTGTCACCCAGCATTTTTAGCCATGTGATCCCATTCCTTTTAAGCCAGTGTTCATCTCACTTTGAACACTTCTGATGCTTTTCAGTCTATTCACTGTGACAGTTCCACTCACGTACCAACCACWTACCATCACAGGCACCTCAGCAAAGGGGTCTCAGATTTGTATCTTCTCCATCTGAACTCGGATGCTTGCACGGAACTGGCTGCAGACACTCCCTATCCAGTTTTGCTTTCCTGGATTAGTGCTGGTGACCTCAGCCAGCATAATCATTGWTTGCATATTAGCTGTGAAGGTTGAGTTAATATATTTGTGAGCTTTGTTTTAAGACTTGAACAAGCAGTGGAGGAAGGAAATGCACACTAACTGCTCATCTCAGCGTTCTTGCTTTGCAAAGGGTTCTTGTCCMTTTGGTTCCTTCTGTAGGGCAGCTGGAACAAACTGGGCAAGGTCATTTCCTTTGTTGTGGTCCGGCATGCTCACTGCGGGAACCTGCCATGTGGCTGATGATTTATTCTGCTGGGCCAGTGGGCAAAATGAGTAACTCCTACCCAAGGCCTCCTCTTCCTTTTTCAGCAGCAGATTGATGAGTTGAGAAGTTCCCTCTTATCCAGCTTGTCTGCTATTTTCAGCTGTTCCAGTTGTGAGGCACATGAGCCTTTTTGAAAAGTGGAGCCCTCGTGTTTCCAAGCCTTGCCTAAGAATGTTGCTTCTGCGCACAAAGCTTGTTCTGCTTGTGCCCCTCTCTTGGTGTGGCTGTCAGTGAGACCTTGTCATCCAGATGACAAGGTGTTCTTGTCTGGTCATGAACAGATGTCTCTTTCCATAGTATGAGCAAAGTACTAAAATATACTGATTTTACCAGACTAATGGTGTCAGGATTTTAAACAAAGAATAATCAGGACTTTGATTCTTTGTCATTGATTCTTTTGTGATTGTTGAAACACCAGAGTAGCTTGCATTAAACCTTTATGTATTTTAGGTGCTGAGAAGCAGGAATTAGATCATGGTGCACCTGATGTAACCTATTATGGAGACTTGCTGTGGAGACATGGAGACTCTTTCAATGTGAAAAGATTTGAAATAAATATGAAATAGGATTATTTCTGCTAAAAGTTCTCCTTATAACTASCACTTGAGGTTGAAAATTTGTTAGAAATCCACTGAAATTGTTGTACTGACAGAAATTGGTACTTACTGCATGTACTAGCATCTAGAGGTATTGCCTGCTGCTGAATGGCAGCAATCACTGCTCACCGCCCTTCTCTGTGTGCCTCTTGCTAGCAGTCTTCTTTGAAAACAGCATGATTAATATTTATTATATAATTTTCTCTATTGCAGACCTTACTGTACATCTGTCCAGATAAACATCCTGTCTCACTTAACAGTTATGAGTTGCCATGTCCTTCAAGAGTTAATTTAGGAGCATTCAGGTTGTGTTCTCTTGGGACCCTCTCCCTGTTTTTCTTGAGCTGGATGAGCCTGGTGGAGCCCACCAGAGGTGTTTTGTGTCTCAGTCTTAGATTGGAACAGACATTTATTTTGTCTCTTTTGGTCTAGAATGGAGAAACTCCATTTTATTTGGCTGTTAAAGGAGGTCATGAAAAATGTGCTGAACTCTTACTGGAGGCAGGGAGTGACATCAATGTTTTCACAAAGGTACGTACACAGTATCCTTCCTAGTGGGACGTACTAGACTGTAGGAAGGACCTTATATTCTCTTTTCCCTGKTTTCTAACTAAAGATACTTGCTTGGTAAGTTTTTATGAAATGAGGAAAGACCAAAAAAACAGAACAGGGAATGTAGGGAGTACTAAGAGTGAAACCAATGTGGAAGAAAAATAGGAAGAAAGAAAATTAGATTTATTTGATGGAGTGCTGTGGTGGAGCTTTGTGTTTCCTGTATGCCCAATTATACAACATATGACAAGAGAATGTAGCTAGCTAGGGTAACTGAAAATCCTATTTTTTGGCAGCCTGTGTGACTGATCTGATGACAAGCTTGTTCTCCACATCTAGTTCTTAAACTTCAATCCAACTCCTATCTGCTGAATGGCCTTGGCTAGCCTGCTGCAAGAAGTTTATGATCCCAGCAGACCGAGAACTTGTATTTTTAAGCAGAATTATTTTGTATAAAGATTTCCATTGATTTTTATAAATTTATTTTCTCTTGGTTTATGTATATTTATGTTTCTATTGATTAATTAACTAACAGACTAGGAGACATGTTGGCATTGTTGTTGTCCATGGCACAGTATAGATGATGATGCTGATCTGTCTCTTTCTTAAGAGAATTTGACCAGGGCTATAGGATATTGGGTGTTCTTTAGTACATTTGTTGTGATGTAGTAAAAGTGGGAATTTCCTTCACTGTTGACAAAAACATAATGCTAAGTGCTGATCCACTTAATTTTGTACTGTTTTCTCAAAGTGTTTTTTTGGTGGAAGGGATAACAACACAAATTTAAATGGAAGATTATCCTATATTTATAGCTCTCTTTAATACTGGCTTTTTTTTCCAGGAATGAAAATGTAAGTTTTTGTTGTCTATCAAAAATTTTCTTTCAGAACAATAGCAATGCTTTGCAGGTTGCAATTCAGAATGGGCATCTATCCTTGGTTACTTTTCTTATTGATAAGGATATTGACCTGGTTCCTAAACCCGAGGTGAGTGTTTGTCAGAATAATTCTTCTGCTGCTGCTCAGCCTGTCCTGTCTTTCCTTGGGAATTCAGACAGCTGAGTGAGATTCAGTAGYTCCTTGATTTTTTTTCCTGTGCACATTATTACTTGGATTGTTGCTGATTACTTGTTGCTTATTAGCAGCATGCACAGACCAACAGAGCCAAGGTGCTGCTGCCAACCCAGTGAGTGCCTGAGCAGGCTGGTGCACTGCAGAGGAGACATGGCCAGGCTAAGCCAAGGGCCAGGCATTTGGAGAAGGGGAGCAAAGTATCCTGCTGGAGCTTAGCAGTAGTTGGGGAAAGAGTCAACACTCGTAACTGATTTTGAATAAAGATAACTAAACTTTACATACACATAAACACTTCAGTGCTTTCACCCTCTGCAGTGAAATGCACTCTCAGTGCCTTCAAAATCTGCATGCCAAAATCTGTTTTGGGATTAGAAAAGAAGAAGGTATTTATATTATCCAAATCCTCTCTTAGTTTAGATATTACAGATATTTGCGATTTTCTATGAATAAGAAATTATTTTCCACTTCTGCAGTACAGGATGAATATAGAATCTGGACTTCATGATTTATGCCATGATCACTGGCCTGTTGCAGAAAGTTATCAAGCAATAACAATTTATGATGTGCTTGAAATGATTTAAAGGTCAGGCAGTTGTTCCTGCTTGTTTTCACTGGTTTTCTGTAGCAGAAGGAACTCATAAAATTGTAACTTACATTTTGAAAATATTTCCAGGACAATGTTGCATAACAGCGTGCTTTATTTTTCTGAAGAAATGGCTATGTTTTATAAAGCCACTGAACTGGTGCCTGGCACCCATGAATGGTACTGATATGGGATTATTATTCAGCTGTATTTCACAAGAAGCTGAACAGTCMCAGGTTCAACATGCAAAGTGGTCTTACCAAATGTGGATTTTGACTGGCGTTGGATCTGTGCCCCAGTTACTTTAATGAATAATTGCTCACATAAACACCCTGAATTTCTTATTATCTCTAATTTGCTCCTTATGAATATGACGGCAGGTCAGTGTAGTAGGAAAAACATTTCCAGCAGTAACAGGTGACAAGAGTTTGTTCCTGGAAAGTAGGTTTCAACATCTGTTTACTGAATACAGAATGAGTCTGCCTCCAGGCTATTCAGGCAAGGGCAAAGCCACTTTTCTGAGGCAGCAGAAATCCTAATCCTTCTGTTGTCAGGACAGCAGCATAACCCAGGCAGGAACACTAAAGAGGAGTGTCTTGCCGCATTCCTAAGTGGTGGCACATTGATGCACACCCCATTCACTCAGCATTTCTGGTCTTCTCAGCTGTTTACCTGCTGCTGTGGGTGTTGCAGGACTAGGCTGCCACCTCTGGTATATCTCCACACATCCAGGTTTGATTTCTRCAGCCTTGAATCTCTGCTAAAGCATGTCACCTTCACAAAGGGGAGGGCTTCAATAAGAACCTCTTGTTTGCAYGAACTTGTAATAATATACCCAAGCATAATAATTTATTATTTTCCTTCTACAGCAGAAGAATTCCCCTCTCCATTTAGCAATCATCAGTAATAATCTACTGGTAGTGAAAAGCCTTTTGGATGCCAATCATGACATAAACTCCTTAAATCACGTAAGAAAACCTGGGAATTAATACAACTTCATTGGTAAAAGGGAGATTACATGAGTTTTGCATGAATTTTTTTTTCCTTACAAGCACAAAAAAATTAGGAAGGAAGAGGCAGTTCCCTCCTTATCTTTTTGTGTGTGTGTACATATGTATTAGTCACTGGTACATGTTGTGCTAATATTGTTTGAACAAGGTAAGAATAGCACAGTGCTGTATACTCAGAAAATGTGTGGGTAATGAGTTCGAGTCTTATGGTTCACGTGTAATAAAAGACAGAAATGACTCATTGGTATTGACTTCAGAGGGAAGCCCAGTGCAGAGTGTCATTTGGTTGGAAAGAAGTTAATTTCTCCTTAAAGCAACCGGTGTGGTGTGTTTTAGATCTGTGACAAAAAACTGTTCTCCTAAAACACTGGTGTTAAAGCTGTTACTGAAMAGTGCTTACACAGCATCAAGGCCTTSTCTGTTTCACACTCTCTGCYCCCAGCTAAATGGAGCACTGGGGTGCTCAGGGAGCTGGGAGRGGACACAGCAGAGCAGAGCTGAGCAGCACAGCAACACTGAATGACAAAGTGTGCAATCATTGAGCGTGTTCAGTTGTTAGCTGAAAGGATGGTGGTTAAAGGCCATCCAGGGACACCTACACCTGTCTTCCTCAGATTTACCAGGATTCTTTGGCCTTGCTTGGTATCAGTGGTCTTTGGAGGCCTGGTTAGTTGTTGGCCAGTTTCCTGTAGATCAGACCAGTTCATGGTAAATCACATCCACCCCTGACCTATGCTGTATTTACTTCAGTGCTATCATGCTTGATCCCTTTTTGCTGTACAAAACCTCCTACAATTATTAATGACCCTTTTCTGCTTTTGCTGTGCTGTGTATCATGTTGTATTGCTTTGCCTGTAGAGAGAYGATAAAAGATCTGGCTTGTGCCTGATGTGGCATTTTTGGGCCCTACAGTGCTGCTATCTGTGTACTCAGGGAACCATCTCATGGAAAAAATCAACAGTTACACCATATCCTTTTCCTCCTTGAAGAGGTACTTTGCTGAGAGAGGAATAAATGGCACTTCCCCCTTCTTCTCCTTCAAGGTCATCTCTCCCACCTTCTTGTAACAATACTCTTTTCCTTGAATATCCCGTGTAAACAGTATTCAAACTAGTGTGCGCTGTGAGCATGGTTYTGATTATTGTTCATAACATTAAACAACTAATTGGGAATGACACACAGCGATTCACCTGGAGGCAGTTGATTCTCAGGTGGCATCGTGTGTGGCAGGAATTGGCCACATGCCTGGGGCTGTTACTGTCTCAAATAGTTTGGGATTTCACACCTTAGCAGGAATGTAGTTCCAACTAATTCATACACCATCTGAAGGAGGGGGGGCCTTGCTTGTGCTCAAGAAACACAGGGATTTCTAAAGCTGTGTTGGGCCTGGTCCTTGCCCACTGAGCTGCCATCCAGTGCCCTCAAAAGAGAACCAGGGTTCCCCATCAACGAGCACACAAAGTGGTACTAGGAAGGTCTCCTGCTCTAAAGACACCCATAGACAGTGAAAAGGTCACTTATTCGGAGGTGCCATACACTGGCTTAACCGGAGACCCAGCCTCCAAATACCATAATTGTGCCTGAACTCAAGGAGAAATGCTGTGAGTGGATATTGATTTGGTTAGAAAGAGAAAGAGGAGCTCCACCTAAGGGGCAAAAGGGTAAAGATTCAAAAGAGGCAGCCTGGCCTGTAGCAGGACAGGAGAGCCAAAAGACAAGAATGACGACAGAGGCATCCCTGAGGTGTGCATCCCTAAGTGACCTCTTAGGCAGCAAGTGTTCATCCATCAGCAAGGTGAGCACGCTGCTACYTGACTGCCCCAGTGCTGGGAAGGTAGGGAAGCTCAGCTGCCAGGGGCCATCTCTAGGGACTAAGGGATTGACAGAGGGATCAGAACAGAGGCAAGCACTCATAAATCTCCGGAGAKACTCTTCCTGAGCATGAATGCAGAGCGTCTCCTCAAAGAAGATACTGTAGACCAGCAAGGCAAATAGACTACCACAGAAGGTATCCAATATGTGAGGGAGTGGTGGTAGAACTGGACTACAGTGATCTAGCCAACAACTAGGCCTCCAAAAATTTCAGTGACATCCACTGTCCATGGCCCATATGGCAGAATATTTTACAGATCTCACATACATTGGCCCCTGACCCTCACAGACTCCAATGGTCCAACTGTGCGCAGACTGGCCTGCTACCTGTGCCACTTCAAGGAGAATTTCTCTTCCCTCTCCCCATCAGCCCTCATCTCAGCTGCAGAAAGACTGTCCCAGCATGTCTGCCAAATCCCACTCTGGGCACTGTGGCTCCCTGTTGGRGAAATGCAGCCTGGTCTCCTCATAATGAGTAGGGGTGCTCCCCATGACAGTGACAAGTCTTGGAGAAATTTGTCATTCACCCCTTCCCATTGTTCATTTTATTGCTTGAGATCAATTTATACACATTTTTGTGGAAGACAGAGGATGTCATTTGTGGCTGGAGTAAAATGTAATGATAAGATTTTCTGCCACATAGAGAATTCTGTAAATTTCTTTAACACATCTTTTAGAAATGTTTTGTGCTTAGTCTCTAGCTTGCCTGAAGTTACATATAGTAGGTACATATGTATCCCAAAATTTCTGCAGATAAGAAAGTAGGGTGTATGCCAACTTGTTATTYATGGAAAATAAATTTAAGGTAAATATATGAGATCATGTGATCGTAGCATAAACTGCTAAATTAGCTGATGAGACTAATGTGRAACCCTGAGCCTGGTGTTTCTTGGTGTGTAAGATTTTAGTGTTTGATGTGCAAACCTTTAAATTAAGATCTAAAGGCCAGAAAAGTTCCCTAACCAGACCTACAGAATGTAAACTTGAAATGTCATAGAAGCACAGGCACAAAACATTAAACTTAAAAGGAGGTTGTGTCACAAGAAACATACTAAAGAACATTCCCAGATATGTAGGACTTCCACAAATGACTCCATGTCTTATTTGCTACTGCATTATACCCACAGATGTCTGGATTTTTTTATTCTAATTTCTATGGAAGAATAAATAAATACACATTTGGGTATATGTAGCTATGCAGAGACTACAAAACCTTCCTTTCAGACCCAAAGCTTTACTTGAAGCTGAATGTCCTTTTTGCTGCATTTCGTGTTATGGTGTGGTCTTGTTTAAAGGTTTTGTTTTGGGTATTTTTTTAATGTGTGTTAAGGTTCACTGAACCCATTATGGATCAGGTAGGCTTCTGCTATGCATCATCATTTTGTGGCAGGGCTGGCTAAAAAGCTCGGTTGTGGATGTGGCATAATGTACTGTTGAAAATTATGGATGTCCAGTTTTCTTGGCATGAATTTCATTAGAGAAAAGGTTACTTGAGAGGATAATATAGGTGTGGTTGGCAGCCACATGAAGCCCTCTGTCCAAAATACCTTGCTTTAAGCGGAAGTGAGAGAGTTTGTTAGTTTACAGTACATTAGAGGGCCATAAGAGCCACTGTCTCCTGAGCCAGATGGAACTTCTGCCTGGTTTTCCTGCAGAGATCCCATATGCTGTCTTGTCTGCCTGAAACAAAACTGGCAGATCACTCAAAAGTTAAATGTTTTTCCTCTGTTCAGTATTTTCTCACCAAGGTCACCTCTTGTTGTGAATCTATTTTAGATTCAGCCTGTGAGCATGCTGCTTCTAGGAGTGAGTTTGACTTGATTTGGTGTTTATTTGGTGTCTTTAATCCCAGAGGCAGGAAACTCCTCTACATCTGGCAGCTGATCTTGGCAATGTGGACTTGGTAGATGTGCTGCTGAAGTCAGGCTGYGATCTCAAGACTGTGGATAAGGTAAAAAGCATTCCTCGTACRTGGAAGGATGACATGATTTTATTTTTTGTTTTATAGCCTTCCTTACAGAGGTGCATAAAGCACATGTTGCCAGCTGTGTTAGCTGCTAAGTAAAGCTAATTACAAAGGAAGTGCCCTTTTAATACTGCTATACCTGTAGCTTACAGAGATSTGAAATGGTTTTGGTGAGGAGCTGTAAAACTTCCAAGCTCCATGGTTTGAAGGATAAACTCTGCTTCCAGAGACCTCTCATGGAAAAAAAAGGACTAGGTTTGCAGAGGGGAAAATGGCCCATGGCTGCTGTAACTGTGCAACTGCAGCCAGGCTCATTGCTAGGAGAGATGCAGCTTCACCAGTTGCAGTGAAGGAGAGTTTGCCCTTTAGTATTCCRGGTCACAGAGGAATCATGGTGACATTCCAGATCCATTCAGGTGGATACTTAAACCCTGAGATGATGTTTGGCCTGGAAGGATAGAGGAAAAATGGCGATGTCTGGAAGAAGTACCAAAGCAAATTCGCTGGGGAAGTGCATTTGAAAGGACAGAGTACCACACCCACTCTTTACAAGTTCTGCTAAATTACTGCAACATTGAGTGTCTCCTTGTACACTGTTACCACTTTTCTTGATTTTCTGTGTGGTTGAATTGATGGATTTGATATTTATTATGAGCACAGTCTAGCCTTTTAGTAACTTTAAGAAGTAACTTTCCTGCACAAAACTGTCCCTAGGAGAAGATGAGCTTTATGGACTAGGATTGTCTTGTTTTGCCCTAGCCTAATATGAGGCCCAGGGCTCTGAGTGTGGGGTGCATGGCTGATATGTTTTGGGAAGCTGAGGTAAGATGGTGCATTGCAGTTAAGCCTTTCCATTTAGAATCATGCCTACACTCACCTAAGAGCTGCAGTTCTTGTAGGGAACAACCCAGAACAAAAACTTGCCCACTTTAAACAGAACCTTAGCTAGTGGGAAATTTTTTCAATGTATTTGTATTCCAAGAGCCGACACAAAAAATTACTTATTGCCTATGATCTTAAGCATCTTACAAGTGTTTRTGTGAGATAGTGCCCTGGTATTACAGCAACACTGGCAGGGTTCAGACTTGTTATGAGATTCTGGCTCTGAGCCAGTACAAGTTGTGGTACAAGTTCTGCATTGGTTTTRTTTCTTGGAGTAGATTTTTCCTTGCTTATTTTTTGGATGACCCCTGAGACCATGCCACTGCTGGGAACATATGTGAGTACACTGCTTTTTKAACTGATTTGTGCTGAGATGCCAAAAATGTTACTGCCCTTGCTGAACAGCAGACAYGAAGAAGGGAAACCTGCTTTGATTGCACAGTGTTTTCCTGACCTCCATGCYCTGGCAGTAGAAGCCCTCCATCTCCAGAGAATGTCATGCATCTGCTCTCTTGGGAGCTCTTCCTTCATCCCAACTGCAGATAAAACTGTCTTTGGTTATGAGTGATAGTGCACAGAGAATTCYCTGTATGCAAGACTGCTGTGCTAAATGTGCATGCAGGATGGCAGCAGTGTCTGCACTGAGATACAGAAACTCTTTATCCACTCCCTCTGTAAAATGCAGAGCCCCCTCCATCGCTGAGCCCAAGGAGSTCTTGTGGTCTCTGGACTTTTCTCGTATAAAGTATGCCTATGCCTTAAAAGTTGAATGGAGTGTAAATTCCTTGGYTTCCAATGTGTTGCTTTTCTAAAAACAGGCTAATTAGAATGATCTTGAGTAGAGCCAGGAGCTAGAACTCAAAAGGTATGTATTAGGGAACTTTATTCTACCTGGAGAGCTGAAATACCTTGTAATTTAATTAATGAACCTTCTAATTAAGGGATTAGCTTCTTTTAGATCTAATTTTCTGAACGCTTCACATTTGTTACATGGAGAACACCCTGAATATTTAAATCCAAGGCAGTTGCACTCAGTGTAGATCTGCTGAAAATAGACAGTTGCAGAGAAAACCCTTTAGAGCCAATGTGATGCCTTTACATTGAAGTGCTAATAGGAGAGATGGGTTCAGGTAGACTGAGCAAACCTCTGCAGCTGGAATTAAAGCAATGTCTTTTAATAATTGTGACTCCCTCTATACCCATGAAACATCATACTATGGTTGTGCTCCTTTCAGTTGCCATGAGAAAGTCATTCTCTTTTCATTCTATAATCCACCTTCTCTTACCAACTAAAACAAGGAACAGGTTTGCCCTTAAAGCTGTAGATTTCCAAACTTACCAGCCAATCCGTCTGAAATGCTGGTAATAACCATGCTTTAATCATAGCATGGGAATGGACTGTATTTGTGGTCAGCTGACCACATCAGCCTGTGATGCCTGGGCTTACATGAACTTGGAAGCAGTGACTGGAGAGTGCAAGCTGGCATCAAGTATGCAGCAGCCTGAGGGCAGGTTTCTGAAAGCAGATGTACCTCACCAGAAATTCTTTAGTGGGGAGTTCAGTGTGGGAGAAAATTGACCACCTCTGCATTGATGGGATACAGCTCATGCAGAGAATGGTACTTTGATTGTAGCTTCCCAAAAGCCATAAAATTGTAGTAAATATCTTTTCCTGAAAAAAAAAAAGAAAAAAAAGAAAAAAAAATGGGGACGGGGCTCTGCAAACAGTTTCTATGTTTCTTCTGTGATAGAATTACCCAAGATAACGTTATTATTCATGGTCTTTGCTTTCAGCATGGAAAAACTGCACTAGCCGTGGCATCAAGGAGCCATCATGCTCTCATTGTAGATATGATCATTAAAGCAGAAAGGTATTATGCCATGAAACAGGTAAGAGGCATCTTTAATTGCACTCACCTCAGGGAAAACCTAATTCTGACTTTGAAGTGCCTTTTATCTGAGATGAATCCTTTTGGCAGGATGCAAGACTGGCCTTCATGAACTAAAGTTAGGATTGGGAACAGGAAAATGTCTAGCCCATCCGGGTTTTACTCCTGACTAGCTGTAAAACTGTAAGATCTTTTCAGATTTTCTTGCATTGTGCTCTACACATAAAGGGATGGAGAGAGATTCTAAGCCAAATCCAAACTGTGCCATCAGCATTAGAGCTGGGATAACATGGATCCATGTTACTTCCTGGATCCTTTGATACAGTAAAATCTGTGGCTGAAGAATAACAGTGTAGATGTCTGTAACTCCTTTGCTAGCAAGWCCTCAGCTACTTCAGCAGGAGCTCCCTCTTCTGTTCCTTCTGCATTAATTATAAAATAAAATCAATGAAATTGAAAATACCTCAGCAACAAGCTGAAGGATACAGCTTAGATTATCTGAATTTCTTACCTTTCCCTAGTTGTTACTGAAATAATAGATTGCATAGTGATGGGCTTCTCTGAAGTTAAAGGCTCTCTACAGGCTACAAGTAACTGCCATATCAATTTGTGTCTTCATTCTCACTCCTGCTTCCTGCTGAGTTAGCCAAGTGTACAAGCATACTGATCCTGTCCCAGAACACATACAGGAATTAGCCAGTTTTACCACCCTGCTCCTGCCCCGAGAGGTCAGATCCATGGCACTTAATGTTACAGGGCTGGTAAATCACAGGTCTAGATTAATTATTGCAAAAAATGCCTCCATGAACACTCTGTACTGTGCATTTGATTTGCACCAGGTCAGCTGGGGCTGTCAGGTCTGTTATTGTTTCTGTTTAAAGAGGAATTAGAAGTGGTCTGTTGCCATGACAAGTCTGACACCAGTAAGCCCACAGTGTTCTCAACCTCTTGCCATTGTTTACTGAATTTTCAATTACTGAACACTGTTTACTGAAGAAAAGGTGTTAAGCAGATGCTTTTCTGCAAAAGCACCATAAATATTGGGAAAAACAAACRTAAGTGTTTGTATCCTGTTGCCTGAAGCTGAGAGCGCAGCCCGTGGAACATCTTAATTCTTATGGCTGTGGAATGTGATGCAATTCAGGTGGTGTTACCATACAGGGAACTATGCATTCTGAACCATTGTTTTAAGGACTGTCTTTTTGTTACATTCAGCTGACTTACCATTTGTGACAAAGCATTAGCCACAAAAGGAAATGTCATGTATCTGAGAGGAAGGGCACATGATACTAAAGGGTGAGTGTCATCCCTCTGCCCTTTTTTCTACCCAAACCTTCCCCATCATTGGCTGGGTTTTACTGGATTTCAGGTCAGTGTTACTATCCCACCTTGACATTGCCTCAAAACACAATTAGCAGCAAAGAGAAGCTGTGCTGCTGCAAAAGGGTTTTTTTTTTTTTTTTTTGTTTTTTTTTTGTTTGCTTGAGTTTTTTTTCCTGTGGCTTTTAAAAAAAATTAATTATTTTAAAGTTCTTTTTATTAAAGTGTCACAAGAAAAGCATCTAATCAGAGAGACCCTGAAGCTGTCCTGTAGAAAGTCCTAATTTTTACCTTGCATGTGTCAGGAAATATGAAATAAAGCTTGCATCAGATGAATGGAATAAAACATATATGACAATGCTTAGTTACTCAGCTGAGACTTTGTTTTGCCTGTCTCTTGTAAGGCTAGGAAATAACCCTGCTGTATTTTTCTGAATTTAATTTGGAATGAAGCACTTTATGCATTTTAAAATGTGGCATACACCATTTACTATTTTGCTTAGTATCTGCTTTGTAACCCTCTATCAAATTCCCGAATAATTTTTTCCTTTTGAAGATTGATTTGAAACAGGACTAATACATAAACATAATGAAATACAGAAATAGATGGAGCTTACCTAGGAATGTTCCCTGGGCAGTGCTTAGCTAGGGCTGAAATCACTGATTGACATGGGTTTTTGCCAAGGTGCCCAAACAGGAGGCAACCCCACCGCTCCTGTTTCAGGTGAGCCAAGCATACAATAGCAACATCTCGTTTAACCTGGAGGGTAAAATCCACATGATTTTGGTTTCTGTCTGATTTTACTTATGCTAGAATACAACTGGATCCATGTTCAACACACATRTGCATAGTGGTGCATAGACACTTTGCTGAATGAGGCTTCCCATGATAAACCTGATGGCTGATGCTGCCAGCAAAGGATCTGGGAGTCCCCGCTTCTGCTAAGTGAAGTTACCTGACATAAACATGACATGTACAGAGCCAAACAGAACAGCAGTGCTGGCACAATAGTTACTTTGCTGATAGTAACAAGGCTGTTACTTTGCTTTTGTGTATCAAATACCAGAAAAAGTGGCTAATTTTGCAATTAACTTGGTAACACACAACAGACACAGAARCTCTTTGTTTCAGTTCGGTTTCTATGAACCACACCCAATTTCCTTACAGCTGGCACTAAGCAAATCATCTGTCAGTAGTTACACCTGGCTGTACAGGACTCTGCTCACTGAGYAAAGGTTCCCAGTTCTGGTACAAAATGTATCATCTGTTTTCTTTTTCATACACAGCTAGCTCAGAGTGCTCGTGGGCCAGACTTCAGTGTGTCCTTCAAACAAGATCACAGTATAGAGACCAAGCAAATCCGTTCCTCCCTTTGGAATCTAGCATATAACCAGTTAAAACCCCGTGAATGGAAAAAAATGGCCATGTTCTGGAAGTTCACGGATGAACAAATTAAGGCTATCGAAGAACAGTGGACAGGTAACAGTATCTGAATAGCCAGACATAATATATAGGATAAAAAAAGGCCATGAGGCAGTGTGCTTTTTAAACTATSTGAGCATCACATAGTGAAGGGGTACAAACCTTGTCCCTGGCTTCTGGTAAGCAGTGCTGTAGCAGTACAGGACACTTCTACTCTCCTTCCTGGCCTGAAGGARCCATCCTCTTTGTAGATCAAAACTAGAAGCCATTACCATCATAGAAGGATCTTGTAGGTCATGCTGCAAGTGAGGACCTGGGGAACCTCATGATACACAAAAGTCTTGCTCATGCTCTGTCTGCACAGCTGCCATGAMAAAGGAGTTTCTGGTTTCAGGCCTCTCAAGTGCTGGGAAAACAATACTTCTACAGCACATGCTCTACTTGTTACTACTACTCCAGGGTGTATTTCCACAGCTTTGGAAAAAAYGAAAGGAAAAATTAATTTTAAGATGTATTAGGTGTTATCTCTTAATAGTAGTGTTAATCAAGAATATTTGTTTAAACTTTTGTAAGCTTCAGTCTTCATTTATCTTCTAGGTGGGAAAGGTAGTTAATGAGTAGGTTTAAAACCTCTTGGAATTCTTAAAAGTGCAGAAGCACAAAATACACTGTTTCCAGCACATTGAACAAATACTTTGTGTATTGTGTAGGGAAAAAAAGTTACAAAGAGCATGGAAACAGAATGTTGCTCATCTGGTTACATGGTATGTTGGTGGCTCATCAGAATCCTGTCAAACACATATATGAAGATCTGGTGGAAGCAGGATTTCAGCCCTTRGCTGGTAAGTTGATACAGAGCACATTATAGTGTCCTTCACGAGACTGCAGTGCCGTGCCGAGGTCCCTGCTGGCGCTGGGAAGGTGTGGCCAGGGCGGGGCTGGATGACACTTTCTTCTTTTCTGGGACTGCCCTTCCTGAGGGATGAGGCTGCTTGAGAAAAAGCATTTATGTGAGACTTGAGGTTTCTAAAGGAAGACAAAAGTGCAAACTTTGCTTCCCACCTCTATGCTGCACACTGGTTAAAWTGTAACAGGCCACACCTTCAGAGAGGTTAGTCTGACCTTGTGTGAAGCAGAGCACAGCAAGCGTTTTTTCTTACTTTACAGAGAAGATCAGAGCTTCAATTAGCATTGGCATGGACTCCAGGAAATGTGCAATTTCATGAGTTCATCAATAAAACATGGTCTATATGATAGAATTACATGCCAGATGGAAAGTGGCTTTCAAATACCTTTTTGGGAAACAAAAACCTTTTTTGAAGTTTTAAAGCTTTTTCCAGCCTAGAAGAACTTGCACTTCTGAAATTATTAATTCTTTCTCAAATGCTTGCAGCATTTTAATGCAGCAATTTAAAGAAATTAAGAGTGAATGGTTGACTTGTAGTTTATGATTATACTGCTAAGCAAGACTCACCACTTMCAATTTTCTGACCTAACATTGATAAAATAATTCTGTATTGGAACTGCAAATTAAACTATTTTATGTTTGTCATGAAATGTAAATAAAATGTTTTCTACATGAAATTAAATTTAGTAAGTGAAAATTACRTGTATAAATTGATTAACACTTCCAGAAATAGGTTGGCACCTGGTCTCATTTGGGATTCAGATTTTTATAATTTTTTTCCAGGATTATGAAAAATCTTTCTTCTGCAGCATTTGATCTATGTAGTGAAGATAAATGTCATGTGTAAAACCATATRTGGCTGCCTGGAGGGTCTTTTATCATGGCATAACACTCCAAAAAGAATATTTGATATTAATACTTAACACATCTAGAAATTATTTACCTATTTCTTGCTCATATTTTGAATTAATACTTGGTAGTGTCCTGCTGAATATGTTTAAAGGTTTTCTTATTACTGAATATATGTAATATYGGAAAAATTATGTAAATGTCTATATTTGTGATCTTTATAACATAGCAATAGTTTWATCATGTAATGGAAGAATTGCCTTTTCTGTTTGCACATAGCTAGCATTATTTTGCACTGAATACTACCGTTTACGCTAGAAAGGTGATCTGTCATCTTAGTCTGATYTCTTACTCCAAACTGCCTTCTTTGATGCAGTGCAGAGCATCCCGGGAGCATAAAGAATAGGCTGGTAAATCCTAATGTTTTGGAAGAAGGGATCTAAAGCAYAAATGCTTGGAACCCAACAATATTGATCGAGTTCTGCAACATTAGCTTGGAAAATTAAAATATTTAAGACTTTGATTGACTTGGTATCTTATGTGGCCCAATCTGGACCCTGAGTGTGAAGGATACACCATGCTGTTTTTCATTAAAGTACACTGTTGTAGGATATACTAAAGGTGCATGTCAACTACACTTACTTGCATAAGGAACTAAAAGTACTTGTAAGAAAAATAAACTTCATTTTCTCTTGAACATAGATGTCAGTATCASTGGGATTAAACAAAGAGATTCAGACAAATATCACATCGTATTGTTTATTAAAAGTGTGCAAAAGATTCCTTAAATAAAAATCGTTAGTCTTAACAATAAATGTTTGGAGGTAGAACAACTGTTCAAGTTCTTTATTCCTCTCCAGATATTTATTATAAAAGCACTTTTGCTTTAAAAAAATCCTTGTCTTTTAGAAAAGGGTAAAAACATGATATGTACTTTGAGCTTTACTGCATCAAATCTGAAAAGATTGGGAAGAAGTACCTTGATTAAAACCCCTACTGGTGAGAAAGATATTCAGTCAGTCAACAACTTTTATTGACTGAACACTGGTATGGGTTTGGCCCTGAAGCACTCGCCCAACTTGTCCTGCAGGTCTCACAGTGGTAGAGCCGGAAGAATGAAGCACAGTTCGAGGGTATTTAGCAGCAGTGGCTTGTGATATGGTTTGCTGAAAAGTAATCAGATACATCAAAAACACTTAATGGCACAAAAAATGTCACAAAAAATAGCTCTAGGTGAGCTGTAGCTTAAAATCAAAGATTTGCAATCCAGCAAAYTGAAATATACTTATCAAGGAAAAAAAATAAATGGTTTTTTAACAGAAAAAGTATTTTTTCCCTTTCTTATCTGTAAAATAAACTTCTTAGAATATAAAGTCCTAAACTRTCAGTTAACTAAGTACATTGAGCTTTTATCACCTCAATCCTATTTCAAGACAGGTTAAGTTTTTTACCATATTGTTCACAATTTTCCCCTGAAGTGCTGATTTAATCATGCCAACTTTCCTTCTGAACCTTAGTATTTGCTATGAGGAAGTTTCTGAAAGGTCTCTGCAAAGTTTGCAATTTTACCAAGGATTAATTTTYTGCCCAAAACCTAGCCACCTTAGTGTAACAAACAGCAGTCATTCTGTTTTTAATCAAGGTAAACTCTCTCCCTCTCAGATTAACTCACGAGAAATACTTGGCTTCCACTTAGGCTTTTGTTTGCAGAAAGGGTATACAGAATATATCCCTAGGGCTGTCACATTTATTGCATTTTCAGAAGTCAGTTTTTGGTACAATAGTTCAGATGCTTTCCTTGTCACACTAGTCACAAAATCTGAGTCCAGAAATTGTTCTTAATGAAATAATTACCACATTAAATCTTTAWCCTCCTAAGAACATACAATTTAAACATTCATTTCTGCTTAGGAGCCCATAAGCAGCTTGCCACAGGGCTGTGAGTCATGGCAGGAAATGGGGGCCTTTTTTGCTTTTGGTACTGCCACGCTGGGGAGGGACTGGAGGTGCTTGGGAGGTTAGGAGGAGACACAGCAGGGACAGGTGACCCAAACTGACCAAAGGGATATTCCAGACCATGTGGCATCATGCTCAGTGTATAAAGTGGGGAGAAGAAGGAGGAACRTTTGGAGTGATGGAGTTTTGTCTTCCCAAGTCACCATGACGTGTGATGGGGCCCTGCTCTCCTGGGGATGGATGAACACCTGCCTGCCCATGGGAAGCATTGAATTAATTCCTTGTTTTGCTTTGCTTGTGTGCACAGCCTTTGCTTTCCTACGGAACTGTCTTTATGTCAGCCCATGAGTTCTCCAGCTTTTACCCCTCTGATTCTCTCCCTGATCTCTCTGGTGAGGGAATGAGTGAGCGGCTGCAGGGGCTTGGCTGCTGACTGGGKTGAAACCATGACATCTCCTCACCAGAGCCTTCTACACAACAATAGTAAGGACTGTTGTTTTCAACAGGCCTCAAGTCTAAGCTTTATCTAATCCCTTTTCACAAGTTAATTTTTCTTCAAATTATTATCAGATGTGTTGTAATAAAAATACTATAAGGAGCACAATCTGATTTACCTGAGTGATTGGATGATGTTTCTCAACAATGACTGAACTCACAGGTGGAGGAATTCCCATTGCTGCTAAACTTCCAGTAGCTCTGGACCTTGGTCCCATATCAACTCGGCCTGTGATCCGAGCAGTGATTGTTCTGGCTGGTTTCTGTTGTGCAGATGTTATAACTTTTGCCATGGGCTATAAATGAATTAAATATTAATTGGTAAAAAATTTTAAATGTAATATTGACAATGCTCTAGTATTTCTGCTCAGTTTTACCTGCCACATGCCTAAATGGAACATAATGTTGCAGGTTACATTGCACAGCTCTGAATTTGCTCCACCTGACTGCAAGCAGGCCTACTCCATCTTTTTCCACTTTTAAGTATGAGATAGCATTTCAAGCAAATTACTTCTGTCCCAAGGGGAGTAAGGCTAATTTGACAAAAATCAAGAGGCATTGATAGTTTAGCTTTGCTTGCTGACTGCAATGCTTGAGTGACAGCTGAAGGCACTTCCGTTACTGTGGAAATCCTTTCTAGCAATGACAGAGCAGGTAGTGAAAAAGCTTCCATGCATACAATAATGAATCTTTCTATGACAGCTGACAGCAATTTGTGTCAAATTGAGAAAAGGAGGGCAGTTTTTAGCAATAAGCACAGAAAAAGGAAAGCACTTGTAGCATAAGGCACAGAGAGAGTAATTTCAAACAGCAGGATACAGAAATAAAGCACTTCTTCCAGAACAAAATGTTATCARGTCAAACACTGATTGTTCCTGTTGCACTGTATCTTGAGTGTACATGCACTCTTCTATTCTTAATTTTGCCACTCTGCCCCTTCTCCTAAAAGAATTTAAAACTGCTCCTAGCATAAATGGGTTTATGTAACATTAAGGACCATTTGCAAGCTAGTGTCTACACACAGCTATGTAAACTCCATRGCAGTGTCCTCAACTACATACCTGTGTTGCTCTGAGAAGTGCAGAAATAACAATGCCCAAACAAATATTTGTTATGATTATCCATTGAAAGAAAAAGTTAATTTTAGCATGTTACCAGTTTTTGAGTTGATGTCACACCAGGTCCTGATGCTGTGCTAGTCACGATTACTGGAGAATCAGAATCTAGTCTGGTCTGAGAGCAGGCTGCATGACTCAGGTGACTAGCAAACTGTGAATGAAACCAGAGTTTACAAGGAATGAATATTACTTTCTAGAAAATACAATTTTACTCCTTAGATAGTCAGCTTTTTTACCACCTCAGTTACCCTTTTAATTGTAATATCTTTGCCACTCTTTTATCTCTAGTCTAGTTTAAAATCACTTGTCTAAAAATTGTAGAAATAGTGTGAATAACATTTGTCACTATTAGAAGGAAAAATCAAGAGAGACGCATGCACATGATCTCTATTGCAATCTATTCTCTAGCATGGTGTTGTTTTACAGTGGCAACATTTTCAGAATTACTCCAGGGCAGGTCCAAAACAACCAAGCTACTAGATGGTGATCTGACTAAGTTGTTATGACAGGGCAATAAGATAAGTTCTCTCAGTACCTATATGTTTTGCTCCTCTGAAAAAGAAGTTTTAAGTCAAGTCACCTTTTAATCTTTTCAGGGTATTGAATTCAGGCATTTTTTTTAGAAACTCCTAAGAGCTTTTTTTCCAGAGAGAACCTTAGAGAGCAAATTATGATTACAGTGATCTTGGCTTCATTAGTTTATTGCATTTTGAGTCAAATAAAAAAAAGGGCTTAATGAAAGTAAAGCAAGTCACAGCAGCTGTGCCCCAGTCACTTCATTTTCACAGTGCAGTCTGAAGACACCTACAGGATTCCTTTTACACTTTAAAAAGCCTGAGCCAAGGAATTAAATTTTTGTCACTAGCAAATGCAATTCTGTTCCAGCTACATGCTTACCATGCCTTCCACCTGAAGAGCAGCTGCTGGTGCAGGTGGTGGTGGTGGCGAGGGTGGATTATATTGTGAAGGAGGTGGCCTTCCTGCACCACTGGGAGCATTATCACTCCTCCTGCTTCCTGTATCTATTATTAGAAACACAAAGTAAYGAGATCAGCACATAATCTAGCTAACCCTAAGGAGTGGGGATGTGAGGGAAGTTACAGCAAAAATTTTAGTTTTTCTTTGGGATTTCTGTAAAATCTAATAAAAATCAGCCCATTGTTCATAGAGATGGATAGATAGATAGACAGATAGATAGATAGACAGATAGACAGACAGAGAGAAACATTCCTGTATTTTACTACCTTTTGATATATTTTGAAATGTTTTTCAAGGGGCTTGATTCTGTGTTATGTCTCAACATCCCTGTGGCACCTATTGCCCCTTTATAGTGCRAAGAACTGAGGTTCTTCCTACTGCTTCCCAAAACTAAAACCAGTGCAAAAGAGCTGCTCTTATCCTATGAGCCAAAATTCAGTTTAAATAGGAAAAAAACAAAGGTCATACTCTACTTCTGTGAGGGCACAAGATCCTTTAGGGGGCTTACTAGCAGTAAAATAAAATGTTACTTTGATTTTTCTGATAAAACAATGCAATTTCAAGGGGGCACAGCTCACACATGGCAGTAGCATCTCACCTCCACATATATTTGCTGGACAGTGGCCTCATCTGGCTGTAGGGCTGGGACAATCTACAAGCACACTATAGCTCCCATGTCCCCCCAGCAGGGTAGGCTGGGTAAGCTTGAGCTTCAACAAAATCCACCTGGGATACTTTTGTCTCATAATGTGGACATTGGGGATGCCAGATCTGCAGACATAAGCCCAGTATCTTTTACMAACAGTTCCAGGCTTTTCCTTTTAGAATACCAGCTTTGTCCAAGAAAGAAGAGATAGTGTTRTTTACTCTCCTATTGCTAGCAGGGGTTCCAGACAAGAGAACTTTGCACRTTTTAGGGATTAGAGTGACCCCGTGTGGTAGTTGAGTTTGTTTCTTTTTATTCTCTGATATAAGCAGGAAAAATAAAAGGAAGGTACTTCAAATCTATGCAATACTCATAGATGTCAAGAGTAGAATAATGCYAGAATACACGTTTTGTACATATCTATGTTTTTACACATTCATTAAGCTTATGCACAGAGAAGACCAATGCACAATTATAGACCAGTCAGATSTGATCTGGTTACTAAAGAAAAACAGTGTTAGGGTTTTTATAAGCAAAAAGTTACGAATTCCTGTGGCTTCAAGGTTCCTTTAAACACCTAAAGAGATTAAAATAATCTTATAAATAAAATGATGCTACTAAATTTTAAAAAGTCAGCAAATCAGGCGGATAACTTTTACACCAAAACTGACACTAAATAATATGGARCAATTAAGGCTGTGATACATGCACATTATTAATAACTATATTATAATGATACATTAWATATATCAGATAGTCTGTATATTGTATGTATATTAAATGTACATTAAAATAACCTAATTATAAATTTGTAAAGGGGTGGAATTCTGCTTTTATATCCAAGGACAGTAGGTGGCACTGCAGTGTCCATATAAATTTGTAATTGCTGACTGATTCTGGCACATGAAATTTCGATGTTCACAGATTAAAAGACTAGAAACAAATCACAATAATMTTCTCTGATGTTTGCAGTCCTCTGATGTCCTGATCACTGTTCTACCTGATTAAGAATGCAGATCAACAGTTGTACAACCATATTAAATAATTATGTAACTAACTTCATTAAAGCCACCATCTGGCTGTTGCACAAAAAAAAGATAGCACGCCTGGGGCAGTGGAGAAGGCAGTACAAGAGCTGGTGGAAGATGATGGGCTGCTTGGGACCAAGGACAACAGAGTCTGTGAGATGTTATGAAGCCTGATTAAAAAGCATAATTGCGGATACACAAAGCATTCAGCACAGCAAAATCTTCAGGTGGTGTGCTGGTGCAGAGTATCAGTTCCAGCTTCTTAGGAAAAATCTTTTTGGTCCATGAAATTCAGGCATTGGTCACAACTACTCTAGAACTCAGTTTTCTTAATTTCCTTACAACTTACTCTCATGTTTATAGGTCTACAGAAACAATACTTAGACACCACTCAGTTASCCTTCATTATTAGAGAGACCTTTTGTCTATTGTATGTTTTTTGAAAACAATAAACAAACAAATACAAGATAAAGCTTCAAGATGAATGGTTCTTAGTAACACAATGAAAAATTAAGTACTTGGAAAATGCCTTGTAATTTTATTCCCAAACTTATTATCTTCAAGAAATCATTATGTCTTAACCTTCCACATATATTGATCCTACGTTTGTACTAGCACACAGCAAATACACTTAGCAAGCGTCATATTAATTTCCTAAGTAACTGCACAAATACCATTTATGTTTAACAGGTTCAGACAGCTGCTCAGGTAAGTATCCTCTTACACCTTCTTCAGGATTTTATTTCCTCCTCCTATCTACATGTTTTGGTGAAGAACTTTTCTAAAGTGATTCAGAAGCCTCTGCATAAGATTGTTAAATCTAGCAACTGAAGTTACTTGTCCGAGGCTATTAACCACTGCTGYCAGTACAGCTGGTGGTTGAGCCACATGTATAGCTGTGATACTCCTGCTGGCACAGCTATTTTCTCTTTAATGTAGGTTGCTGCACCAGCACGATTATGTTCCCACTGCTACAGATTGTCTCATTCTGAGGGGGTGATTTCATTACATCAGTAGCGCATGCAGCTCTTTCCTGTGTAGCTGCGCAGGTTTTACGAGTATGCTGCTGATAAAAATAGACTGGTGTTTCCTGTTCTGGCACAGAGCTACAACTAAATACAGAACCTGAAAGATTTGCTTGCTCTTTTTACTTCCAAAAGCAAGATCAAAAAAGAAGGAAGAGCTGTCTGGAAAAAGCTGATTCATTACACATTGAGATTCCAGAACACAAAGGAATTTTCAGGATTTTGCCTTCACTGCCCCATAACCTGATATTTTAAGAAGTTTGCCTTTGACTTCTTGGTCTGCCTTCAGCTGCAGGTTACTGCTCTCCCAGCAATGTGGGATGAAGAGAACATGTTCCTCCTTTCAGCTACAGCAGTATGAAGTTMAGCATCAGAGATTTTCACAACATATTCAACAGGATATTTTAAAGCAAAAGAAGTTATTAAACTCCATATTGCCACAAATTCTCAAATTAAATTAAAAAAAAAAAA